GGCAAGGTTGTTGAGGGCTTTGAAAGTGAAAAGTAATATTTTAAAGTCAATGCGGTGTTTGATGGGGAGCCAGTGGAGGTCATGGAGGATAGGGGTGATGTGGTCGGAGCGTCGGGTGGAGGTGAGCAAGCGGACAGCTGAGTTTTGGACATATTGAAATATATAGAAATGACACTAATCTGAATGTCCTGCAGCGCTGAATGATAGCAGGGATTACAGCACACAGCAGGTGGCAGGATAACCACTCCAGTGAGTCTCTGAATCAAAAAATGCTGCAGGCAGGTTTCCATCCTGTAATCACTTTCTAATACTGATCTGACTACTGCAATATGGTGCTATATCTTTGAGAGAAAAGGTAACTGTTTTCCCTTACAGGGCCATAAATACAGTGTAATCAGATGACTGTATATCTTCTCTGTAAACTGAACTCTTCTAATACTTTAAGTGTGAATCTGCTTGAATCTGCTTTATGGTTTCCACTTTCTTTGCTTCATTTGTTCTGTTTTTAATTCAGCAGGTGAACCTATATGTTCATAAAATAGTGTGTGTGAGCTCAACTGTGTGTGTTAAACTAAAACGGAGCATTTTCTGTCACCTCAGATTGTATTCCTGCTTTTTTAAACTGTAGTACGTGCTCATGTGTTTCAGTGTTGGTGAATTCTGCCTGAATATGATTCATGAAAGACAGGTTTTCCTATCAATCAAATCCTTTTTTATCCTAAATATCTTTCTTTCTACTTTTCTAAGGTCACATTGTTCTGTTGTCTTACATTGGATATTGATGTAATCCAAAAGTAACAGAAAGAAATCAAGTTACTTTTATATTTAGACACTCAGATTAGGTTACTGATTGCATTGGTAACTAGTAATTGCGATACATTTTTAAAGTAACCCTCCTAACCCTTTGTATAACTCAAGCTTGAATGTCTCGTGCTCTCCAGTCGTGTTTGGCTGCTCTTCCTAATCTGGGACGATGCAGTCTCTCGTCTGATTTGTCCCGTGTTGGTTTGAATTACAAACTGTAGCCGAGGCAGGACAGAGGGGACAAGGGAGTTTCCTTTTAGAAATGGAACGAGGCCCCAGGCTGAAACATGATAACAGTAGCTGACGACTGTTGTGCCAAGAGGTTACTATAGGTCAGAGACTACTGTAATGAGTTTAGAGAGTGACTGTTCTGCCTGTAAACAGATACAGATCAGTAAGTGAGACATCTCCTTCCTAAAGCTGATAACATGCTTCCGTTTTATTGGATAGTTTGAAACTTATGTAGAGAATTTATAAGAAGTGTTTCCCTCCCTACTTTCTTCCTTTTGTTTCCTCTTCCTTCCTTCCTTCCTGTCCTTGTAGGAATCTAAACTGCTTTCAGCTGCACTAAAACATGTTTTTTGTTTGTTAATAATTGATTGAATGAATGTGTGTAATATAATATGTTTTTTGATCTGACCAAATATTCTAAGAGAACAAATAAACCGACAAAACAATCCCACTTTTCGTCAGATCTCACATTTGGCCCTAATCGTCTTCTATAGAATCGTATGGATCTTATATTAACCCTCCTATTGTCTTTGTTTCCCCCCCCTTACTTTGGTGTTCGCGGTCAAATTTGACCGGTCCTGTTTTAACTGCTATTACATTAACACAAAAACCATTAATCATCACCAAATTTCATTTAACACCCTTTCAAATTGTAAATATTGTATCAGACTACTGGTATACATGAAAAACTGCAGTACATATACAAATAATAGATACTGAACATGTATTGCTTGTGCCAGGTGTGATCCATGTGGGGGGATGGGCACATAAGGGGGGGAACACATCTAGAGCAGGGCTTCTCAAACTCCGGACCAAGGTCCGGATCCGGACCGAACTGCAAATCAATCCGGACCGAACCCTGTGTCCCATTATAAAAAAATAAAAAAAATTCTGATTCTGATAAATTAATGTACATCATCATGTACGCGCGTCTTGTGTCTGACGCGTTGTGAGAATGAACGTGCATATATATTTACTTGTGTGCGTGAGCGTGACACGCATAGCAGACCGCAAGTTAACCGCAAGTTTACCTTGACATACTGTATGTATGTATTGAATGTGTGTGTGTATACAGGGGCGCCGTTTACCGACAGGCAAGGCAGGCAAGTGCTTGGACCAGAAGGGGGCCCCCAAAGAAGGTAGATTAAGAAGGTCCACAGCAACGACAACATGAAACACCCTTTAATTTACTGCAACGACATGTCGGGCATTGATCCGGACCAGTGACCTTGTATAAAGTTCACAACTGGACCTTTAATAAAAAAGTTTGAGTACCCCTGATCTAGAGTATGTGTGTGTGTGTGTGTGTGTGTGTGTGTGTGTGTGTGTGTGTGTGTGTGTGTGTGTGTGTGTGTGTGTGTGTGTGTGTGTGTGTGTGTTTGATCTGATCCGGATGGTTACTAATTCCTTTTCTTTATGGCGGTCATTTTTGACCGGGAACACCATGGGTGTTACAAAGTTGACTAAATCATCCAAAATTCAATGAAAGTGGTGATCAGCAATTATATATGTTCAAATGTCTACTGTGAAGGATATCATAAAGCCTTAATGCAATCAAATGTAAAACAAAAAAGTTATAATTGATGAAAGTAGTAAATCGGTCAGATTAGACCCGAAGACAACAGGAGGATTAATCTCATCAAAACCTTTTGGAAATAAGATTAGTGACATGTACATGTTATGTTGAGCTAGATAAATGTGTATAATAAAGACTTATACCTGCTGAGGGCTGGTTGATGATATTGTGATGCTGCTTTAATATGCTGCCTTCGTCTCTCCAGTGAGGTTTATCATTTAAAATAATTGCGAAGCTCTGCTGTACATGTTTCTTGTGTATATTTTTGTATGGGTATTTCATATTCTTATTGTACTTTCTTGTATTCTGTATATATGACTCTTGATTTTTGCAAAACGTATCAAATAACAAGCAAATTCCTTGTATGGTTAGACTTTGCCATAAATAGATGTCTAAATGAGCTTCTCAAAATAACTGCTATGAATAAAATCCAAATTGAAAAAATTAGCATAATCATTTGTATCATATTCAGCCATTTTGTTTATGTTCACGTTTCTTTGCAGTCAAATCAATGTATCTTGCACTGAAATACATGTGCTGTCTCAGTTTGCATTTACGAAATGTTGAATTACTTTAGTTCTAGTATCATAAGTCGGATCATAAGTCTAAAGTGCTGCAGCTGTTCCTCTTTTTCCTCCAGATGTTATCCAGACAATAACCGAACAGCTCCTCCCTGTGGACAAATCTGCAACTCGATAAATAAGCACGAGGGAGTTTGTGAGTTAATGAGTTGCAAGGCAATCACATTTTAAATGCTTTTCATCAAATATAGAAAAAGAGATTCGCCCTATGTGTGTGATTGACCCGGCTTCTGGTCAAATAGACACTGAGGTAAGCTGAGATCATGAAGATAGTGAGGAATAAACCGCTCAGGCATTAAACTGCATGCCCATAACACGTTTTTGCTTTCATTCATTTCATAATTGACTTATTAACAGGTGCCTCCACTATTTTCCACATGGCTCTGCTCCTAAAGCGCGCTGAAATGAACACGTTTCCATTTTTAATGCTCCAAATCACAATATTTAACATTCATCTTGTGTTACCTCAAGTAGCTGCAATGTGCCACGTTAATATTTAGGAATACGATTTTTTTTTAAATGTTGTAATAATGATTTTTTTCAGTCCTAAAGATTCATAAAAGTCATATTCATAAAAAACAATGGTAGTGACACAACCCACTTACATTTGTGTGTAGTAAATGTGTAACTGTTTGGTAAAGTAACTACAAAATGATTAACACCGCAGAGAGAGGAAGTGATCTCAGGGTGCGTTCAACGACACATTTTGTGTAGTGGGAAGCATCGGAATTTTGCCACACGATCAAACAGGTGGTATTTACTTTTCACACACTGCTGAACAAACATGCAAGACATATTAGCAAAGATGGGAGAAGTACTCAGTTATTGTACTTGAGTAAAAGTAGAAGTACCAGAGTGTAGGAATACTCTGTTACAAGTAAAAGTCCTGCATTCAAAACGTTACTCAAGTAAAAGTAGAAAAGTATTAGCATCAAAATATACTTAAAGTAGCGACAGTAAAAGTACTCATTGTGCAGATTGGTCCATTTCAGAATAATATATATGATATGTTTTATAATGATTGATCATGAAAGTGTTCTCAAAGCTGGTAAAGGTGCAGCTAGTTTGAATGACTGTATACTGCAGGGTAGCTTGTGAATTTACTCCAGGTGGAACTGAAGTCTGATTTAAGAGCTGATTATATTTCACATCATTCATACACATCTGTAAAGTAACTAAAGGTATTAAATACATGCAGTGGAGTAAAAGTACACGATTGACCTCTGAATTGTAGTGGAGTAGAAGTACACAGTATCTCAAAGTTATACTTAAGTACAGTACTTGAGTACATCTACTTAGTTACTTTACACCTCTGCCAATATCACAAAACAAGTTTTTCTCAGTGGGCTTTACAGAATAACAAACATAGATGACATATGATTAAATATAGTTAAAATTACAAGAAAATTACCAAAACATAACACAAATTAAATGAACTTAATAGGGTTAAGGTTCAATTAATTAAAGCCACCTGTGTTATGCAAGATTATTGAACAGGAGCAAACGCACTCAAAGGCGACATATATCGAGTGTGAAATGAACGAGGGTCAATTAATAAATGAAAAATGAAGGTTATATCTTATATGAAATCAAATTAGATATTCTTTTAGCATGTGTATATTATTTGTATTCGTTAATAAGCTCACATTTTTGACACATTGCATCTCAAAGAAAGTATTTGTTGCATTATTCAATATTAAAAAACAACAGCTAGACTTGGTACCAATAACATCGTCATGCGTCTCTAATAAGCAAATATCTCGATTGTGAAATATACGAGGGTCATTGAATGCAGCATTATTTCCTGTTCAAAGGATATATCGTCAGTTGAAGCCGAAAGGGGGAGTTCAATGTATTTCATGTCAAGGTATTTCTTTGACATTCAGTTTAATGTTCATTTCTTGAGCCGTGGCACAACAGAGAGCTTCTTCAGCATGTTTTGGGAATATTTCGACGCGGCTCGACGACTCGGGAATTCAGCGAGCGAGGTAAATGTTAGCACACAAGCTAATGCGGAGCTAGCCAGCAGCTAACTTACTGCAAACTAACAACCAAACGTTAATTTGTGTGTGTCTTAAACTGATTATACACACATGCTTAACACAAGGGGAGGATTTTAGACACACACTGGGACTTTACACTGTAGGTGAATGGCTGGAAGTGTGTGTTGAGGGTAACGAAAGTAACGCATTTCATCAACAAGTGGTCTTTTATTTTGCATTGTGTGTGTGTGTGTGTGGTGGGGGGGGTTTGACATCCGAGTAATGGATTACATGTAACGGGATTAAGTAAGCAGGATACATAAATAATGTTACTGTATTCCTGTACAGTTGCATTAAAGACAAAAAGCGTATTCTACGGGGGCTGACAGGTGCAAACGCGCTACAACGACCCAAAACACTTACATAAGGAGCTTCAGAAACGATGCATTTATAGAAATGTGCCAAAACACATGCAAATAGAGACACATCTTCAGCAACTAGACGAGTAACATGTGCAGTGTTTTTACTAAAAGTGCTGCTTAAAGGAACATAATAATAAAGTAATAACACATGCATAACAACGCCATGTTTTGTTATCTCTTATTCGCTGGTTTATCTCCGCTTTGCTGTCAATGTCAGGTGTTACATAACGTGCATCATCGTTAATCTTTTAGTTATTTATTTATTTTTGCATTGCATGTCTTGCAACCAATATCTTGTTTTCATTTATTGAAATGGCCAGTTCTGCACAACCTTCCCAATATGTTTGCACATTTGCACACAAGGTACCTCTCTTAGTATCTTCACAGCTTTCCACTTTAACAACACTGCATACGTTTGATTTGATTTCCTTATTCTGAGTACTTTTCGAATAGTGTACGTAGTTTTTTTGGAACATCCGTATTTCATGTTAATCATTTTCTATATATTTACGTATAATCGTTTTTATAGAAGAATCAGAATGGGTTTTGTTTGTAGGTAAGTAGTAGTAGTGTAAGTACTCTTACATTGTGGGATACAAAAACACAGAAAGAAGAATACTAGCAAAAAATAGTATACAAAAAAAAAGAAGCTTTAGAAAAAACTATTGCTACAAATTTAAATTGAAGGCAATATTTACACAAAATATAATTATGTGAGATGCATTCCTCCCACCATTTTGCACTTTTCTGCACGAACTACCAATGATCTTTTATTATTTTGCATTGCATATCCTCTTTATGCTCCGTACTGCTATGTTCCTTCAACTATTTTGCACATTTTTGCACAAACTACCGCTCATAAATTAGATTTATTTTGCAAATGTTTCCTTTTTCCCTCTCTGTTGTTCTGCTGCAAATGTATATTATTTCTGCAATACTTTATCGTTGTACTGGTAGCAACAGGTTAATGCACAGGCAGGACAGTCATTCACTGTTATCCCTAGCAGCAGTTTTAACGTTGTCCTATCTCCTCAACAATATCGCCGGTTTCAACTAGACAGTTTGGGTCAGATTGTGTTTGTGTGTGTTTCTCCTACCCATCAGGTCGGGATGAGTCTAGGGGAGATTTACTGGTCTACGTAAGAAGCTTAAATAGTCACACACAGACACAGACACAGACACACACACACAGACACGAGCAGATATTGACAGGGAGAGCACACTTCATATTCAGGCTGTAACATGGAGTGGACAAAATAGCAAACATGAAACTGCAAAAACACATACAAATCTTTATAGGGATTATTTTACTTTCTTATTATATTCACATAAATGATTATTATTCATCAAGAAAATGTTGTTTTATGTGTAAATATTTTATCAAAGCATTCATAGTCAACACTACAATCAAATTGCATTATCGATATCAAGGTATTTGTTTACAAACATTTTTGATACTTTTTTTTTTATTTTTTTTACAAGTCTTTTTATTTCATTATAGTGTACAATAATCGATGCCATTTCATTTATATTGTAATATCACAGTACACTCACTACACTCCCCCCCTCCCTCCCTCCACCCACACATACCCGCACAGGCAAAACCAAAAAAAGCTTATCAATATAACTTAAACAACAAAGCCATGAAAATAAACATAAAAAGGAAAAGGAAAAAATAGAACCAAAAAATAAATAAATAAAAAATAAAATAAAAACCAGACAAGTAAAACAAACAAATAATTATACAATACAAATAATTATACAATACAGTGACAATGTAGACAATGACAACACCATAACACGTATTTCCGGCCGTCAGGACAAATAGCCACAGAATGCACCATTCCATCACTGGTCATATCTCAGATATGTTTTCCAAATACGAAAACAATGGCAACCACAGAGCTTGAAAAATATGTCCACGATTATATTTTTCCAATGTCATTTTCTCCAGAGGTAAAAAATGTGTTATCTGATCAATGAAAAGTTTAAATGTTGGATAAACATAAACAAACAAACATTTTTGATACTTGATTTGAAGTTCATCATAATAACTTCTAGATGGCTCTTTCTAGGCAATATGAGACACTTTCAGCAGGAATGTATTGCAGGAATATTGTACAAAAAACATGCCAGGGGAGATAAAAAAAAATGGGCTTGCATTGCATGTAAACATATCAGAAAGAATGGCTCTAAGCCAGATCTAACAGATAAAATGCATATGCTCATGGATGAGAGGAAGCTGATTTTGTCACATCAACACATGAAGTAGAGTTGCTTGTCTTGTCAATCACAAATGTGTTCAATAATTGTCATTTGGTCGTCTCATGAGAACATTTGTCATGTGGGCGGCGGCCAATCATAGATGACCATTGCTGGCATTGGTGTCCAAGCTTCAGTGTGACAGTAAACATCCCAGTGCAATTCTTTATGTACCATTGAGCGTCTATGGTTCGGTGAATTTCAAGCTGATGACAACAGAGGTGACATCTTCTTAAACGGCTCAAGATTTAGGTAACCTTCGTCTCGTTCTTTTACATTTTAAAGGACCACACAATGCACTTTACCAATGCATGTCTTCAATATGTCTCCGTCTTTTGTTTTTCTTTCAGTAACTGTCTGTCCTTAGCTCATCAGGTATGCATACTGATCCTTCAGTCTTATTAAAGTCCTAGTTGCCTTCAGGAACAGCTATGAAGTTCACTCTCATTAAGGATTTTGTAAGACGTCTTGATGTTCTGCACTCTGTGAGTTACTGATATCTAGATGTCAGTAACATTGAGTATTGCAAACTATAACGTAAAGTTAGTAGTGAATTACTCATCTGATTCCTAGGTATGTTTACACATTCTTTTACAGGATACGTTTTTGTGAAAGCAGCTTTATGTTTAGAAAAAGTGACGCCATGATGTATGCCATTATTCAACTATGATTGTTATTTTTCGTTTGAATGACATACATAAGCCCTGCCATAGTCATAAGGAAAGCACAGATTTATTTTTGAATTATGTATACTAACCATGGATCAACTTGTAGCATATTCTAGCCGCTGCAACCCACCTTAAGTGTTGTTTATTTTCTTTAATATGCATTTACTAGGTGTGAGGCAACAGAAGTTACTGCAAATACAGCAGATGGTTCGTCTTGCAGAAAGGAGCTAGCAGTAAGATATACAATAACATAGTTTGAGAGGTTTCATGAAAAGCAGATGTTCGTCAGACTCTTTGTTCATAGCCTCTCTGACCTAAAGATCTGAACAGAACTGAACTTTGATGAGAAGTAGGTTTCCTCCTCTTTCATCTCCTACAACTGTTAGGACAGACAGCGGGACACTTTGCAGAGAACCTGTTATGTACTGCTTGATGTTCCTAAAAATATACCCCCGACTCTATATAAAGGTTTACCCTTCCTTCCCCACTTTCGGTTTCCCTGTCACTGTCGGTCCCACAGCATGAACCCTCCATCTATCGTGTGGTTGTATCTGCAGGAAGCCTTCCTCGAGTGAAAAGAGGAACATGTCTCTTTTTGTGTGGACAACATGTCATTATGTGTCCCTGCAGAGGTGCACCCAGCTGAGGGGACAGGTGGGAATCAATGCAGAGGTTAAGGTGCACTTCTTTGAGACTCTCCAGTAGGATGCACCTGGTGCTGGCCTATAGAGAGGTGCAGTGTTGACCTATTTTTCTTTTATACATATTTTTCTTAATTTTCTTGTTCAACACTGAATTCCCACAGATGGGCCGAAACAGTATCGCAATGCAGTGAGTTGTGCAAACATGTAGCTTTACATTCGAAAAGTAAAGACATTTTATAGAAAATAAAAATGCCACCAGCAGGTGTTGACGTATTTTTGAAGGCTAACCCATACAGCAAGCATCACAAAGGCTCCCTCGACAAAATGTAATGGGAATTTAATATTGGATTTCAGGATATTGCGGAAATTAGCTTTGCGGGCAGGGCAGCACACGTTTATGATACAAACATTTTGTTCAGCAAGATGATATTCACATATTGACACCAATTTGTGATTTTTAAAGGTGAAATGCAATTGGCATAAAAAGCTAACGTAATGCTATACTGCAAACTCCATCTCGGTCACATGGCTGCGCATCACCGCCTCTAAGCTAAAGGCGGCTAACGGCAGCTAATGTCGGGGTCATGGTGCTTGCTAGTTCATTTATTAATTTTTTAAGCAACCACCATTTTAAGACATATAGAAGCTTCGTAGATTCACAAATGGAGCGTTTCCTAAAGTATTTTAAGTCGTAAAAGGAAACGTTAAAATCGAGTGATCTTGTGTTGATCACAGACATTATAGCTTATCAGGCGTCCAACCACAAACACTTTCAAAACATCATTGACATCAAGACAGGGTTTCCGGGTTCTAGGACTCACTCATGTAGAAACTGCTATTCTTCTGTTTCGGTCTCAAAATGATTTAAATCTGAAAGAATAAGTTGGTGTAACACAGAAGTGAGACACATGTCAATCAGGGCGGTTCTGTTCACGCCCACAAAGCATTAGACAAAGTGAAAACACCTGAGGGGTGTTTATAGCCTTCAAACTAAGTATAGGACGTCTCTCTGAAAACATGTAAAGACTGCAGCAAACTTTTGAACATATCCAAGAAAATTCCACATGTGGGTTGCACCTTAGCTGAGGGTAACAATTAGAGTAATGCAGTAAAACACACATGTGTATTTTAGTCGTATGTAACCTTCAATTTATGAGTTATTATAGCAGCCCGCAAAAGGCTGATTAAAGTATTCACCATCATGTTTGTGGTGGTATTTAATTTGTTACCCATTTCAAGTTTGGCTGCATAATAAACAAGGAAATATGAAGATTATAATCACATTATACTTTACATTATACAAAGCTTTGAAAATATATTCACTAAAAATCTATCGTAAGAGTTGTAGACCATTAACAGTTCTGCAAGATATACTGTATTTATAATTTTCATGTAAAACACCATCTGTAGTTGAACACAGTCTCAAGTGCAAGAGTTTTTTCTAAGGCAATGGGTTGGAGCTGTATTAATTATACTCTAACCAAATAGTAATTGTTATTTTCACGCGATATAAAGAATATCAAATTATATTGTTGGGTTGACCATTGGTGCTTTTAAGAAATATTTACACAGTGAGAATTTAGATAAATAATCATCAGTAAAGTAGATATACTGGAATGACCAAGTGGATAAAGGCAGTCATATTTCTAACAGGTGTGTGTTGTAAAACAAAAAAAACCCACTTGATACGATATCCAAAATCTACGCTATCTGTACATATTTGAATGCCCTCTTTTTACTATATTTTGGACACCATTGCCCTTATGAATGGTTTACTATCCTCTTAGGTTTTCTTTTAAATGACATGGCTTTCCTTGGCCTCTGTTGTTCTAATGAACTTCTTCACGAGTCATGAATGTGTTGTGTACTTCATTTTCATGGCCGTGGTGTTTCGGCCGCGGCTCTTTTAAAAAGCCAGATGTGAACAAGATGTTCGGCCTTGACTGGGCTTAGTCAGTAGCAACATTTAATAGGCATCCTTAAAAGAATAAACGATTTGCAATTAGGTGCAATTCTATTCAATCTCTCTGGATAATGTGACATCGTGGCTAGGTGTGTGTGACCTCTGAAAGCTGAAAGCCTTGAACACAAAGAGGCCGCCGCGTCTGTAATATCCACTCCGGTGCAATAAGGGATGAAGCTTCTTGAAGTGCACACTCCCGGCTGCAGAACATACTGTAAAGAGCACGGCATAAAAGGTGTTCAACTTCACCCAGCTGTTCATAAAAGCACTCTTGGGTTTGCTCAGCAGGATGTATGTGGGCATTATCAACCTTCGAAGCAGGGGGTCGAATGAGGAAAAACGTTTGTACCAGACGGTGCACCTGGGCTCATAAAATAGCCTCTTTTTTCTTAGGCTATGAAATAACCATTTGTAGCTATTAATCCAAATAATTTCCCATTCTTTTGAGTATCCAACGCATTTGATTGAGGTTTTTTTTCATGCCTTTAAAGACACAGGTGAGGATGACTACGTTATAAAGCAATAGAGTGGAGCAGTGATGACGTATTTTTGCAGAACGACACGGATGTTAGCAACGTAAGGGCACCTGCGACAACAAGTTGCAAACACACATTTAAGATACTGTAAGGCAGGGGTGTCAAACTCAATTTCATCGCGGGCTACATTTGCATAAAGGTTGCACTCAAAGGGCCGATTGTAACTATATAAATATATAATATATATATATATATAAAATAATGTATTATATTACATTATTGCCTCTGAATTGGATTATTATTGGATAGGATAATAACTTCGTAATTAACTACGTCTGAAAGCAGAAGTCCAGGGAAAATAATTGCAAGTCTCTTCAGTGCGCATGTCACAAAACGAGATGCATTGTGGGACATGTAGTTTATGGGCAACCTGCTTCTGTAAAGTGGCATGTAACCGTATAATAAACGTATTATATTCTTTGCAAGCTCTTGCGGGGCCACATAAAATGAAGTCGCGGGCCGGATTTGGCCCCCGGGCCTTAAGTTTGAGACCCCTGCTGTAAGGGTTGTGTTCAGCAGGATCATCTCCACATATGAACACTACTTTGTGTTTTTTTTTATATCCAGAAGTAAATAGCTAACATTAAGCTAAAAAAACTAACATCACTGCCGCATGGCCGCTAAGCTAAAGGTGGCTAATGTTCGGTATGGTCTTTTTGTTGTAGTCTCATTTAGTTTTTGTTTGCAACTGCTATTTTTATGACACATAGAAGCTTTGGAAGTGGGGTAGATGCTGACTTTCGTTTTTACGTCATAGATTCGAAGATCTCTTAAGCTTGAGCTAACCACAGAACTTATTTCAGGCATCTAACCAAGTAAACAAAACAAACCTTGATGTCAAGACAAGGGGACCGGTAGTGGTAAAGTGTTGACTCGTATCTAATTTCTGCAGCACTCTGTAAGATTAGATTAGAAACAAATGAGCTACCACTTTTTGAACAAGTGTATTGCTAGCAGCAGGTCGAATGATTTTTCTCCTCTCAATGATTTCCAGTGAGAGCCATGGACAACTCTGTCACCTTGTGGCAGTTCCTTCTCCACCTCCTGTTGGATTCCAGTAATGAGCACCTGATCTGCTGGACCAATGAGGAAGGGGAGTTCAAACTGCTGCAGGCGGAGGAGGTGGCCCGGCTGTGGGGAGCCCGAAAGAACAAACCCAACATGAACTACGACAAACTGAGCAGGGCTCTCAGATACTACTACGACAAGGTAAACACAGCAAGTCCTCACTACTGTTGGATGCACAGCAGATTGAAAGAAACTGCCCTGTATTTAAAGGTCACCTATTATGCAAAATCCACTTTTTCATGTCTCTTCTACATCAACATGTGTCCCCTCTTCTTCATGTCTCTTCTACATCAACATGTGTCCCCTCTTCTTCATGTCTCTTCTACATCAACATGTGTCCCCTCTTCTTCATGTCTCTTCTACATCAACATGTGTCCCCTCTTCTTCATGTCTCTTCTACATCAACATGTGTCCCCTCTTCTTCATGTCTCTTCTACATCAACATGTGTCCCCTCTTCTTCATGTCTCTTCTACATCAACATGTGTCCCCTCTGTGTAAAGAGATTCTGAAAGTTTCAGGAAAAAAGATTCTCTCTCTTTTTGTCCTGATCCATTTATATAAAAACTAGGGCTGTACCCGAATATCCGAATATTCGTTCGTTGGAGTACTATTCGGGTTTCAATTTCGTTATTCGGATATTCGTTTTTTTTTTCCGTTTTTTTTTGTTGAATTTATTGAAATCTCCAATATCAACGTAAGAGCTTGTGCCTCTTCGGGGGGTGCTAACACTTAACCATAAACGTTATCGTTTACGTTCTCCGTCTTTATATGTAGATATTACTTTTTCTCCATTAATCTCCGTCACGTTGTTTCCATAGCAACAACAACTTCCTGTCAACTGCGCTAACTCTCCTTCAAAAATAAAAGCATGTCCTTACAAAATAGAAAGCCAAGCCAAAATACACTTAAGACATTATACAACTGCAACGAAAGTAACACACACAATGCAATATCCTTTTCAATTTCAAAGAACACAAATTGGGTTATATACATTAACAAATAACTATAAAACAACAATACTGTAGAATATCAAAATGAATGCCGTGAATAAACCGAAATACACGTGTCGAAGCGCGGAACGAATATTCGCTGCTGATTACTACCGAATATCCGGAGCCCGAAAAATGGTATTCGGGACAGCCCTAATAAAAACCTGTCTGAAAATGAGCTGATCAGATTTTGGACACTTTATGATGTCATAAGGATTGTTTGGCTTGAGTAACCATTAGCCAATCAGCAACCAAGGTAACCCCCCCCCCCCTTATCACCTGAATCTCCTCCTAGAGCACCATTGTGTTCTTTTTAACCAAATCTCTCTCAGAGGGGCGTGGGGAGGGGCTCCTTATTTTCATCTAAAGTAACAGACAGAGAATCAGCACTTTTGAAACAGGGCTGAAACAGAGGGGATTATGGGATGCTACAATGATCTGTTTGGTGTTTGGAGCCAAACACTTCAGAGACATGTTCTGTTTATATCTGAGACCTATAATATATTGATGAAAAACAGTATAATAGGGGACCTTTAATGCATAAGATTAGTCTTATTGTGGTTAAGGTTTGCACACCACACTAGGGATGCCAGCGATTATTCGATTTTTCGAATATTCGTTACAGTCTCCATAATCGAAAATTATTTTTAAAATTCGATTTTATTTATATATTCTTTTATTATTATTAATGTTTTTCTTTTTTTTCCTGGCTTAGTTTCAAACAAAAGTATAGACTAATGCTAATAATAGTAATAGTATGAATAATTGTTGTTTTACTGTAAACTTGGAGGAAGCCAGCAGCGCAGGCTGCGCAGAGTGCAGACTGCTGCTGCCTGCTGCAGCCTGCTACACACCGACCCCGCCCCCCCTCCCCTTCTCCGTCACACGTGCGATTGATTTATTGGCGATATACAGAACAGTGAGAACAACACAACTAAAGATGAACAAAGAAGAGTTCCTCGTGGAACTACTTCGAACTGACAAGTGCAAATGAAGTCAAATGCAAGCTCTGCGAAAATACTTTATTTTTTTCTCTCCCGCGGGGGGGGGGCGGCGAATAATCGATTAATATTCGCCAGGGCTGTCCGATTTTCGAATTTGATCATGGTCAGTTTCTGGCATCCCTACACCACACTAAATATCCCATCACTGCAACACCAATATGGGGTCGACCATCAGCTAGCTGCCCCATATATTGCTTTGTTGTCCATAGTAAACCTGATTGGTTGCACTCCCTAACTGACTCCTAGATACGTCATCTGACCAATCAAAGCCTGTTTTTGAACGTCTGACGTTGGCCTCTTTGGGGATAACAATGTCAGAATATGGTCGGACAAATTGTGCCCCTGAGTGTAGTATTGTCCCAAAAGGTTGATGGTACACTGGAGCCTTAATTTAAATCTTATATCTGCCTCTTAATATTCATATATGTATTACATCCATAGCTATAGCACGCCCTTTTAGGCTTTCAAAACATTTATCAGGTTTCAAGGAAGAAAAATAGCAATCTGTAAACAGATGTATTAGGTTTGTTGTAATGTAGGTTTGTTTGGAGTAGTGCTGGTGCAGGATTGTTGTCCGGCCTGGTTCCAGAGTCAAATTAGAGGGTGTTTTCCAAGAGTAGTGGGGGTGCACATGCAGGGGTTACAGTGCAGACTATATGGGCTTGTAACGGATATCCATCTTTTATAAGCTGTACTTTTTTAACAATAATAGGCGCTTTCACACCGCAGTACTTTTCCCACTTTAGTTCCGATATAGTTCCGAAATGTTGCGTTCACACCAAAATAATCCGGAACTAAAATTAATTCATGAGAACCTTTTTACCCCCTTTTCCGTCCCTGCTAGAGAGCAGGGACTTTCGTGGGAGAAAAAGGTTCCTATTTCTGATTGGCTGGGCGGATTGCAAACCACGGCCCGTAAAACTCCCAAAAGGTTTTGTGAAGCCGCCATTTTATTTGCTCGCATTAGCATTATTAGCATTAGCATTAGCCCAGCACACAAACGCAGAGAGACTAACTTATGGCAACACAAAAGAAAACATGGGAGCGGTGGAGATGAGGAGGTGTCGGCGTTCTGGCGAATTTACTCGGAAGGCGCTGGTCTTCAGCAGCTCCTTACTGTTTGTTCTGTGTATGGTGTGGAACATGACATCAAATACAACGCCAGTAAGAGTGCTGTCATGATCTTTAGAACCAAAGAGGATACATGTCTAAAATGTCCTGATTTGAAATGGTCTGATATTAATCTTAGTGTCTGTAATAAGTTAAAATATCTTAGACATTTGATTACAGAACAAATGACAAATGATAAGGATATTTATAGGCAATGCCGCATGATGTATGCACAAGCAAACATTCTCTTACGTAAGTTCAGTGCATGTACAGATGGAGTGAAGATGTCTCATATTGCACACCACTCAAACTACAGAAAAGCAAGTTTACGGAAACTTCAAGTAGCTTATAATGATGCCATGAGAATATTGCTGAAGAGACCTCCATGGTCTAGTGCAAGTGAAATGTTTGTGGCTGCAGGAGTCAATACTCTACAAGCTGTCTTAAGAAATCTCCTGTATAAATGTATTTGCCGGCTTAATGACTCTGATAATGAAATCCTCGTGGCCTTATCAAACATAAGGTTTAGTACTACACACTACCAATCGCAGCTGTGGAGACATTGGTATAGTTGTCTCTTTGTAGGACACTGATTTCAATTATTCTTAAACTATTAATTTATTTTTATGCTGTCTATGTAATTTATTATATGTAATGTCTTGTCTTTTATCTGGACCCTGAGTCTGTAATAAAGTTTTGATTGATTGATTGATATCACATGACACCTTTAAAAGTAATGATTAGAGCACTGAAAAGGATCAATGCAAAGCAGTTACTATCACTAATAGTGAGCCACAGTTAAAGGTCTTCTAGAAAAAGATGCATTTTCAAGTCCAGGTAAATACTGATTTATATATTTCTCAGTGTCACAGTTAAACCTCAAAAAAGGGGGTGCAGTTGCAGCCTATATTTGTTTCATATGTTTTTTTATAATTTCCCAGGAACCCCTTTTTGTTTTTCTACAAGAACCAAAGACTAAAATAATGTGTACGTATTAACTTGCATCACTTAAAGTATGGTTTTTATAGCAGTCTGTAGCCACCATGTAAGTATGCATGGCCCCATCTAACCCCCCCCAACCCTCCTTTATTTATAGATAACTAATAAACGTAATATGCTAGAAGAAGTGAAATGACACTTTTGATCTAGTACTATTTTGACTGATATAAGAACGGACGTGGCACAGCTGTAACGTTGCTTGTGGCAATATTATCGCCCTTCTTCAGTGTTCCAGAAACTCCAAATGAGGTGAGATCATGCGAATGAGGTCAGATTCTTAACTGTCAGTCTTAATTAAAACAATGACATGATGCCTGAGTTGAATAAGCACTCCTGTTTAGAAGCATTAGCAGCTGGATACTCTGAGGGGGAATCAAACCAAAGAGAGCTCCAGCAAACAGAGAAACACAAGTTTATTGCATCTCAGAATTGTTCAAGTCTGCTGCTCGGTGGCAGACGGAAAAGAGGCGAGTGCTGTCTGTCTCTGCGTGTGGTTTGGCAGCAGAAGCACAGCCTGACCCTGTGGGTGTTCTGGGCAGGGCTGGTATGTTTGGCTGTAAGTAGCTGCTGCTAGTTTGGTGCAGACAGGAAGCTGAGCTGTCCCACGTTCAAGCCTTTTTTTGTGGTCTAATTCTGCTATTTCTTAACCCGACTGCCTCTTTGCTAGTGTCATGCATTGTGGAGGAAAGTCTTGTTTATAGTAATTGGTAAATGAGTCAATATAACTGCATTTAGAGAGTGTTTTTCCAGATCCCTCAAAGCACTTTTGCATAACAAAGGTTAGCATTCACCCATTCAAACACATTTGCCATACAAGGTGCCAAATGCTCTGGTTCTAGGGTTTGCATAAAACAGGGAAAGCAGGCAGAGTTTGAGAAAAATAGGGATTTTATTTACCCAAATGATTCACAGTATCTACAAGGCACTGAAGGAGTTGGGTTAGCATTTTTGATTTGACACCTGTCGTAGCTTTATTCTTTGTTTTGTTCAAGCCACTAAGACACCTTTTAAATAGACAATTTCGCTTTATATAAATGTATTAGTTGTATTTACATTTGCTCTGACTGGCTGATGATGTGTTGTTTTTATGCGACTTGTGGTAAATAATCCAAATATTAAATACAATTAAACGATGGGAATATGCATTTCAAATAGTCAAACAATTCAAAAACTCAAAAAAATGATTTGAAAACGTTCGATCTTCTTTCTTTATTATATGTTGTACGTAATATAATTTAACGGTTCAAAACTGTGGCGTCTTCCACACAGGTTGGCAATATCTGTGTCTCTTAAAGGCTGGCACTGTGGGATTTGTAGTCCTTTATAATCCATTGACTACAAAAGTTGCCACTATTTGACAATATATGGCTTTTTTCGCAAAAACAAAGAAAACTTGCTCTAACAACACCTTAAAATAAAAATAAAGTGTACTCTGAGTGTATTTGTGAAGTGAAACACTAACAGAAAACCTAACCTGTTAAGATATCTCGTTTGTTCTGCTGCTTATAGTTATATTAGTTATAGACATACACTTGGAGCAATTTTGGATCAAGTATCTTACTGAAGGACACATCGACATATTGACTGCAGGAACTGAAAATCAAACCACAGGCCTTCTGATTGGTCGATGGCTACCTCCACAGCCGTTCACTCTCTGCCTATATGATGTTCCTTTTGTTCTATTAACCAACATTTAAAACTTACATCTACATTTGTTCTCCTGTGTCTTCCAGAACATCATAAAGAAGGTGAACGGGCAGAAGTTTGTGTATCGCTTCGTGTCCTATCCTGACATCTTGAAAGGAGACGTTGCCTCCCGGACAGAGGGCGGGGAGGTGGGTGCTGGGGGGGGCGTCCCTCCCCTTTTAAAGAGGGGAGACAGCACCCCACAAGATGGAGAGCCTGGTGGCATGGCAGCTCTGAGCTCCAGCACCAAGCAGTCGAACCGAAACGACTACATCCACTCCGGCCTGTACACCTCCTTCACCCTCAACTCGCTGCAGAACGGACGCCAGCTCTTCAAGTCCATCAAAATAGAGAATCCAGCGGAGAAGTTAGCGGACAAACGAGGAGTCGCTGCGTCCGCCCAGAACCAAGAGCTGTCTCCTCCGCCTCAAACCGCTCTGCCGTCCGTTATAAAGTTCGGAAACACCCCTCCAAAGCCAGCGCCGTCCCCTCAGGTTTCCGTAGAGATGACCCTGATGTCCAGCCACTTGGAGGCCGAAGACATTAACACCATCTCCTCCCTGCCGTCTCACTCCGTCTACTCCTTCGAACACATCCGCCCGTCAGCAACGACCTTCAGCATCCATGAGTTGACCTCTGCCAGCACGTCCCCCAGCCTCGTGCCCGACTCCTCCCAGGAGCTGGTGATCGACAGCGACATCGAGTCCGGATCGTCTCAGACTGCAGACAATCAGGCACGGGAGAAGGCACGTATACATCAGAATCAGAAACAGTTTTATTACCAGGTAGGTTGACACGTACGAGGAATTTGACTTGATGTCATGGTGCATACACTCAGGCACAGGAGAAGGCTAGTATGCAGGGAAGACACATCTCAAGATTCAAGGCTTTTATTGTCACGTGTACATAGCTACAGTGTAGATATGACAATGAGAATCTGAGGTCACAGGCTCCTCCAACAGTGCAACACAATAAAACAGATACAATAATGCAAGTAAATACAATATAAATAGTGCAAAATAGTGCATCTCACACAATGCTGGTTCCTTTTAAAGAGGAAATAATAGGAACGTTACACTTAGAAAGAACATTTTCAGGGCTTTTCATCAGCTTCTTTGGGGCAAACATGTTCGGCCAAAGATTATTTATTTACACGATAGAGAAGTGCAGGAAATATTTCGGGATTGTTAAAGGCACAATGGCAAATGATTCTTTACGTTTCTGAAATACAAGTTTTCCTTTGAGCTCTGGTTTCCACTAACTCATCAGCGAAATATCTAACTACCAAATATTTTCAATATGTTCCCCAGCTAGTCTCTAACTGAGTTTCCTGCTGTTCAGTGCTGAGTGCTTAGTGTATAGTGAAAAACAATACATGCTATGAGAGCGATGGCATTAAACCAATACCTTCAAGTTGTGGCGAATAATTGACCTGAACAGTTGCTCAACTGGGACAATGCTAGTGTGCTTATTACGTATGCAAATCATTCTCGATTTTATAAATATTATGATGGATTATAATTCTAAAGTGCATACACATACCTCTTATTTTGACCCAGAACACGTTTGAAGTGAATGAATGAAACGCGTGTAGTGACTGTAATCCCTCTCCTCTCCAGCAGATGGACAGCGGGATGGGTTTGTCCGGAGATGAGACCAGTTTCATGGACGCTGAAACCAGCTCCTCGTCTCTGAGCAGCAGCAACACGATGTGCATTCTGAGCGCCGCAAAGGCACGCAAACCTCCCAAGATCCTGCAGATCAGCCCCCCCACTCTGCTGGTCACCACCTCGGACTTCTCCCCCATGAACCTCTGCAGCCCCTCCCTCCCCACGGCCTCCCTCACACCAGCAATGCTACAGGTGAGAGCGTGCACTCATTGCTATTTGGTAGTTTGATTTGATTTGATTTATTTTGAATGTGTAAAACAATTATAACAAGAATTATTATACAATACAACATTAAGCAGTGTCAAATTGATATACAAAAATATGACTGGTTCTAAATCACATGTGCCAAATCAGGCCCTTGGTGGATTTAATTTCGGCCCGCAGGACATTTTTTAATTAATATTAGATCTGGCCTGCCGGTATATTGCACGCACACCTTCACTCCATCCTGAGGATTTCCTCAGCTCAGAGCCTAACCCCAAACAACATCCCTTCTCCCAAAAACTAAATTATTAACATATATATATAGTTAAATACCTATTAAGCAACACATTTATACGATACGATAATACTTGAATGGTCAGATCAAGTCTGAAATGCTCCTTGCATCACAGCAGCTCCATGTGTAACATCAACAGACACATCAAGACACAATACATGAAAAACTAACGACAAACATTGAACATATCATCCCAATCACTGAGAGAAAACGTGCTCAAAGAGCCTTCAGCGTGCATTTGGATTCAGCTCTGTATTTACTGAGAGGACTGACTGGAGCACAAAGGATGCTTCACTCTGAATTTAATGAATCGTGGGACCCTGTATCTCCCATTAGATGGTTTATGAAAACATTTGTTAAAATAACTTATCATGCAAAATGCACTTTTTGATGTCTTTTATACAATCCCCTGTGTGTCGGGGAACTCACGCAGCGTCAGAAGATAAAACCCTCTCTCTTTTCCTCCGTACTCAAATCTTTTAAAAACGGGTGTACAACGAGCGGATACAGATTTGCTGCCGATATGACGTCAAATCGGCGGCGGACCCACAGCACTATCAGAAACAATGCCTGACGTGTTTTGGACGTAATCTCGTCTTTGTTTGCATTAGCAAGCTAACCTGTACTGGAGAGCACATGTGTTTAAAAAGCAGGAAATATAAAAAGGAACTCACCTTGTGGTAAACCTGCAAGAGAAAAAGCATTTGAGCTCCATACTGTTTCAGAAATAATCTTTGATGTGGTTTAGAACAGGATGGCATTTTATCACAGCAGAATTTAACTTTATCTCCGGTAGAATTCTGATCAGGCATTAGCTCCGCCTCCTCTTACAGGGCTGCAATAGGGGGGTATGAGCAGTATGAGGCATGGCTGCAATGGGTGATCTGTTCGGTATTTTAAAGGGGACCTATCATGAAAAATGCACTCTTGTACGTCTTTTATACATGAATATGTATCCCCGGTGTGTCAGGGAACTCACCAAGTGTCAGAAAACACAACCCTCTCTATTTTCCTCTATACCCAAATCTCTAAAAACGGGGCTGCAACGGATCTGATACAGACTGATCCAGATTTGAATTATTTTCTACGTCACAAAAGTGGTGCTCGGCTATTGGGCCAACTCTCCACCTATCAGGGGAATGTGGGGTTGGGCCACGGCCGGCCATTGCCGCTCGAAAGCGCTGGAGACGCTGTAGTACATATGCCAGGTCTGTAAGTGGCGCTGTAGTCTGCCACAAAAGCAGCGAAGAAGACTTGGTTGCCATGGTTGCACTTCTGTTTATTCTCCACTGTGGCTCTTTTTCTCCCTCCCCGAGGCAAGCGTTTGCTCCTGCTGCTGTAATTCAATGCAATCCCTCCCCGTTGAGGCAAGCACTGTAATTCTCTCCGGTTAGTCCACCAGCAGACGACAAACACCCACCTCTCCGCCTCTTCCAAGGAACGAGGGGACCGTGCGGCTGAGTTTCAGTTCGATTTTTTTTCGCCGGTCAAGATGTCCGTTAAAGTTTAAATCTTCTGGACAAAATTAGAAAAGTGCCGGTCAAAGGTCTTCTTTGTTATTTATTGAACTTTAAAACAAATGAATAACGACTCTATATAATAATATAATAAAACACGGAGGACGCAGATCTCTTTTTCTCCCCCTCTTCTGACTTGATCAGAGCGCGCTCACCTCTCCTGCAGGGGGGCGTGGTCAGCTGCAGCTCACAGAGATCAGCCCTTGCAAAAACAGGGCTGGAAAGAGCAAATGGAGCGAAATGAGGCATGGCTAAAATGCAGGATCTGTTTGGTATTTTGAAAAAAAAACTATATTTATATACTTTATATAGGTATGGCTTTACAATATATGTTTCCAATATAGCATAATAGCTCCACTTTAAGTAAAACAAATCCCATATCTATCTAAATATTCTGCTGCAATCCATATTTGTGGTCTTTCAAAATTAACATCTTGCACTCCTTGCCACACACAAAGCATCAATCAAAACTGGTTATATTCACACAAGAAAGATGATTTGATCAAATTACACTAAATCTTAAACTGGTTATACTCAAATGTCCAATTGTGCTTGAGGATTTTCTTTTGGCATGAAGACAGCATAACACATGACGACACATATCTATGATCCAAACCTTCAATAGAAGCTTTGAACGTAATAAAAACAATCATTTGGTACAGCCAACTAATAAAGTAATTTAGCCATTATACCATAAGAGCATGACCTAATTCCCAAACAGACATGGATGTTTCATCTTATCACATATTGAATTATATTTCTTCTGAAGGCTTTCAATTACAAAACCTGCCTCTTTCAAATGAAGGTGCTCAGATTAGATTATAAATATTGTATTGATCCCAATTTGGGAGATTTCTTCGTCACACAGCAGCATGCAGACTTTGCACTTGAGGTTAAAAATGAAGTAAAAATAGAAAGTAAACAGTTAACGATATACACATATTGACAGTGAAAGATAAAGAGTATCATACACTATAAATACACATCATTAAACAATAATACACTGACGTCAATTCTGTATATTTGTAGCTATGTCACTGCATTTACTTGTACTTCTCTGTATTTCCTTTTCCACTCTCCCTTAAGATTAAACCAAAGCAAACCCTTTAAAGTGATCTCCTCGACAGTGTGCCAAAGATCAATCCATGCCTCATTAACTGCTGCAGAACAAGATAGAGATCTAATCTGTACTGATTCTGACCAGCAGGGGGAAGCAGTAATCTGCACCGCCTGGCTCTCTGCTCTTGTTTTGGTGTTGTTCCAATGAAGCGGTCCGCAGACCACATGACGCTGTGTGCTGCTCTCTAGAATTTGGAAGTCTATTAGATTTGCTGGTTCAAACAATGTTGTTATTATTCTGTCCCTCCCGAGTATCATGAGATCCAGACAGTTCACATATGGATGAGTTCCTCTTTCAGGTTTGTGGTCTCAGTGATTGACTTTAAAGGGGCCCTATTATGTTGTTTCCTGTAGTGTGTTATAAAGGTTTTTGTGCAGTGGTCTGCGAAGGCTAAATTCCCCAAATCTCCCACACACTCCCCCCCCTCCTTCCCTGAAATGCCTCCATTGGACTCCTTTGTTTACCAGTGACATCACTATGAAACACTTGCGATTCTATAGGCTAGAGCTCCAACTAGGCCTGTCGCGATAATCAATACATTGACTTATCGTACGATAAATAAAAATGGACTCGATAACTTTTCTGAGCTCGATAAATTGCCGTTTACATGCGTGTTTGTTTACATAAAGATGTGACCAGCATTTTAGCCAGGCGGACTGTGTCTGCCAGCCCGGCGCGCTGTGAGGGGCGGGGCTCACACACAGCCCATGACACAGCCAGGTCAGGACACTCCGCGTGCAGCAGTGTAGCAGCCAAATTAATAATATAGAGACAAGCAGGAGACAACGTGTGACTTACTCGAGGGGAATTTGAAGTTAAATGGAAGTGGTTGCAAAACCTAATAACACATCTCCGGTGTGGGAATATTTTGGATTTAAGCCAAATCAACGAGGCGAACCTACGGACTTGAATGAGCCGGGCCGTGTGTCGCATTTGTTTAAAAAAAGGTAGCAACAAAAGCTAGCAATATGACCAACCTTAACCTGCACCTGAAACACAACCACCCCATTCCGTTTTCCCAGCTGGGAGCAAACACGGGAGCTGGAGATGGAGAGTCCCCCACCTTCCCTACAGTTTACAATCAAAGATGCATTTGCCCGACAATGCAAACATGTTGGTGTTCCTTGCTCGAAAACTTTGAAAAACAGATTTGGATATGGCCTGTTGAGGCATCTGGGTCTTTGTATGGACAGTGGACTGTACACTTGACTGTTGTTTTAAGGAGGTTTTTTTGTGAGACAATGTGTGCTCATATTTATTTATATATTTATATATATATATGTGAGAGAGAGCTCTGTTTTCCAGCCTGAGTCTATTTAATGGATTGTTTTGGTTGTGTGTGATTTTAATTAATTTGTTATAATTAAATGTATTTGTTTTATTTATTATATATAATTTATATATTTTAATAGTATTTCACATTTCATTTGCAATGTTGAATGTTCAATAAAAAGTTATGTTTGAAAGGATGTACTTGAATTATTATTATATATTATCATTATGTCAGTGGTCTAAAATGGTCTTACAACGGTGCCGACAATATTATCGTTTATCGCAATAATTTCCGGGAAAATGTATCGTCCAACAAAGCTATTATCTGCCATGCTTTCGACCTTTACTTCAACAACCCTGACCCTTTCTCCCCCGCCCTCAGACTCCCACTCTGTTGCTGACTCCCAGTCCTCTGCTGTCCAACATCCACTTCTGGAGCACCCTCAGTCCGGTGGCTCCTCTCAGCCCGGCCACCCGGCGCCAGGGAGCCCATCTGTTCCAGGTCAGTTTATACCGCCTGTGTCAGCCTGTCACAGCTGAGTAGTGTTCTCTTGTACTTTCTTTATTATTGTACTTACTTTTGTATATATCTCTTCTTTAACTCATTGTTTTACTGAATCAGAATCAGAATACCTTTTATTTGTCCCACAGAGGGGACATTTACATTTGTTACAGTAGAAAAGAGACAAAGACAGCTTAATGTTAACACTTTAGACGCCAAACCAGTTCTTTCGTACTTTTTCTGTTTTCATTTCACCTCATCTATCAGTTCCTGTCTCTATACACACTTTATTATTCTACTTACTTTTGTATATATCTCTGTCTTAACTTCTTGTTTGACTTTAGACTATTACTGGCTGCTATCACACCATGTTGTACATGTTACACTTGTTTATTTTACTGGGACTGGATGTGTATTTTGTTAATTGTCTTTTGTGACATTTCTTTTTTTAGCTTTAATATTTGATGCAAGCTTTCTCTATTAATATCAAGCACTTTACTTTTTGCTGTAACAACGTTAATGTTCCCTTTGTTCTCCTCCATCAGTTCCTGTCTCTATAACTGTCTGACACATTGTCTTCTGTTCCAGTTCCCATCGGTCCTCACTCCTCAGTTCCATATCCCTATACACAGTCTGGATGGGACCAACACACCCGGACCCATTTCCCCGAAGACATAGAATTAACCCCCAATTTACAGTATCACAACATTTAGACTGAGACTCCTCCTCCTCCTCCTCCTCCTCCTCCTCACGCTCCACCCCCTGCTCCCACACACAGGACAATGATGTGGGAGCCATTCCTCATCGCTCTGGTGCTTTAAAGCTCTATTCACACTACAATCAGACATGTGGAGAGATGATGACGGTAACATGTTCAATGTGTCCCCGAACATTTACACCCTGAGGATGCTATCCTGTACTCGAACATGCTGATTCCATCGTTCCTTTTTTTTGCACTTTTGGATTGATTTTGTCTGGATTATTTTTGGGGGGGGGGGGATCCTCAGTCACAACAATTTGAAGGAGGGAGGAATATCCATGGCAACAGTTTGTGGATTGGACCCTCGGCAGCAGTGACAATCTGCGTCCCATGTGGACACACAGATGAGTAGAAGTGCAGATATCTGAGTCTTTCCTTTTATAGAATCCCTTCTTCTCTTTCTGCCAAAAAACCCCATGTTCTGTTGTAACCTGTTTTCTCCTCGTCTGACTCTGCTTCTGTTCCTTATTGTTCCCTGTCCTGACCTTGTTGAAGGGTAGCGCTTTAACCTGAAGGTGTGCATGTTTTACCTGCCACTCTTTTATCTCTTGCCCAGCTCTTAAGTGTTTGCTTCTCTGAAGTGTTAGCCATATCCGACACGTTGACTTTCTCAGCGTGGCCATACTCTGAGCTGAACCTCCCGTCATGCCTCTGTGTCACTTTTCTAAAGTAAACAGGAAGTCACACTGAACCCCGGTGTGCCTCCAGCCAGTCAGCTTTCAGGTGGGATTGAAAAGAAGTGAAGCCATAACTCTTTACGTGCATCGACTCTGCAAAAAACAAAACACAACCTGTTCTTATACAGCTCTGGTGTCTTCTATAGGTTTGGGTGCATGTTAATGGTCTGCAAAGGCTAAAATCCCTGTGTTTCTCTCCCCCCCCCCCTGCCAGAAACACCTCCATTTGACTCATAGTGACATCAATATGTAACACTCGCGCTTTGATTGGCTAGTGCTACCACACATTGTACGTGATAGGCTAATACATCTTATATTATGAAATGTTTAGCCACCCCAATATTGACAATTGTTAATAAATAATGATCAATGATGTGGATATAATAAGCAAGTTGATAACATGCTAATAATAGAACAGCTAGAAGAGTCTGGTCCATTTAGGGAAATACATCAAACAATAACTTAACCAGGAAAGATCTGCCGTTTTATGATAAAACAATATCCAAAATCTTGCCTTTTATAACAATTTGATATCATATAGATATTTAGCCCAGCATTAATGTCAGTTTGTCTTGTTTTGTAGACTTCACTATTTAATGGCTGAAAGACACAGTTTCTGCTTCAGTTCACAAAAATAATTCTAGCCAAAATAACACTTTTACGAGAAAAAGTGAGAGAGCATGTGTTCCCTTTGGACACAGCAAGGCAAGCTGTTACCTGTGAGATAACACGCTGCTGTCCTCAGCTTCATGTTTACAGAAAGAGATCTAATTTGGCAAGGTTATTTCCCCAAATCTGCAATCTTGAACCAAAGCCCAACAACATTCTTCACATAAAGCAGAATCACACCAGACTTTAAATGAACAGGCTGTGTGTCATGTTGCTTGCAGCGTCAGAGCATTATTTTATTTTAAACTGAACGTCCAAAATGAGCGGCTAGACTCGCCACAGTCCCGCCTTAACCTCTGCCGAGCCTTATCCCCCTGAAGCACATCAGCTGTTCACCCTGCAGCACCTTCCTCGCCCTTAAACTCCTCCTCCTCACTATCAGCCATGACAATGTAAATGACTTTGAAGCCATAAGTCTGCGACACAGACTTCAGATGTAGATCCCACATTTCTACGCTAATAAATGTGCAAATTGTACACAACACTTGTTTACATGATGCTTGGATTGAACACGCTTAAGTGTGTCTTTACCTAAGTGTCCCTTTCTAACCCAGGGATGGATGTCCAGCTAATCTTCTAATTTCTACTAGACATTTGCCCCCTCCGCCTGCAGAGCGTCACACTGACATACGGTGCCTTACCACAGCCAAGTGAAGCTCTACCGGGGATGGAGCTTGATCATCTAATCCAGAAATAACGACATGTTTGTTTTTCTGCCATATCTTTGAGTAGACCAAACCAGAGCCCCAGAAGTTTGGCGAAAAACTTCACGGGGATGTTTAGTGAGAGTTCACTGCGGCTTATGTACAGCACAATCTTCATGCTCTGCAGTGCGCTCTGGTACGGTGGCCAGCCCGTGCAAACGTGCTTAAAAACAACGGGGACCCTTAAAAGAGACGCACACAGCTGGGACCGGAGCACTTGTTGACGCTCTGGGATTGGCACTCAAGCGTTCTGTCAGTATATAAGAAATGCCGAGGTTAGCTACGTTAGCTAGCTAGCTAACCTCGGAAGGAATCGTGCGATCACAATGTTTAAATCCTTCAATAAAACTTACATTTTTAGTAAAAGTTCCTAACAACAGTGACAGTTGGCCAACTTTAAAATCCCCGAACGCCAACAAGCGCTCCGGGCCCCGTCTGTGTGCGTCACTTTTTAGTGTCCCCTGGAAACAGGTTTCATTGTGTGTTTTGAGCTCTTTGCAGCGTCACGTTTGTGCAGTGCTTTTTAGTAAACGCTGCGCTTGTTTTGTCAAGTTTGTGAGTGTTTTCTAAACTCTGCGCATGAGTTGCCAGGTTGCTGAAGATGTTTCTTCAGTTGCATGTGTTTTGGCACATCGTTTTTGCATCGTTTTTTTATCTGCAGCGCGTTTCCTAATGGAAGTGTTTTGGGTCGTTTGCACCTGTGGGCCACCGTACTCTGGGATGCTTACATGTACATACAGACAGCGATATAGGTTAATATGCAGAGCATGTAATCAGTCTCTTTCCAACCTGCTTTAAATGTTTGTGATAACACATTTTGAAACTATATAAATATATATAAAAAAGCTGTTGTGTAATTTTCCTGTAGAATTGAAAGATTAATTTCTATTTTTGTAATGGCCAGATAGATAGACGTCTGCTATTCTCTGATTTAATGTGCATGTGCTTATTTTTGTAATGTTGTGTTTGGGAGGCGGCGGCCCCATGCTGGCTGTTTTTGGGAATCAAAGCCTTATGGGGGAGAAATCTAAATCTATGTTTTATATGTAAATGTTTTGATAGTGTTGATATTGTTCATGCAAATGTTGTGATGGGACGTTTGCACTTAACGGGGTTCCTGTAGTATTGGATTCTGTCGCTTTTCTATGACTTTCCTTTTTGATGACATGTTGTCGACGTTTTGCTTACTCAGAAATGTATATTTTCCCAAAGGGAGGATAACAATTATGCACTTCGTATTTTATACAGTAAATCTAGTCTTTTACAATATAAATCTAAGGATTTACAAGGATTTTGTGATTAGGCACTACCACAGAATATTTATTTATGTGAATTTATAGTAAAGCCCAATAGAATTGGTAGCTTATCTTGCATTTTTGCAGTAACTTTGATGAAAAACTATAAAATAGCTTGATTAAAAACACCGAGCCCATTTGAAAGTTTCCTCCATGAAGTCTTTAAGGACTTGTCATTTGCATATTTTGCATATTTGTATCTTCTAATGTTTTCCCTTATGTTAAAATGTAGAATCTTCTTTTGAAAAGATCATGCTTTGTTCTGTCCAGTTTTCTATTTGTTTGTTGCTTTTTCAAATGTTTACAGGCTGCTTGTCTTAAGTGGCATTTCGATGTTCGAGAGTTGTCGAGGAAGTGTTTCTAATGGAAGAGATGTGTGAGACCGATAATAAAAGATCTCTAACTAATCACCCTGGATTCTGTCATAACTTCTTCTTAATGAAGCTCAGCGCAAGTTCTTTCAGGAAGACTGGGTGTATCTACATTCACTCCGCAGCTGCATATAATCAGCTCATCACGGGCGTTCTCTATAACCCATTACTTTCACCTCATTCTCCAGCAGCCAATCCCTGTGCTGCAGCCACACTTTAAAATGGTTCTCCTCTCTCCTGCAGTCAGCTGTGATTTCAGGTTTTCATTCTGCCGCCCGCCTCCTCCCCATCCACCTCCTCCCCTCCTCCCCATCCACCTCCTTTCATCATATCCAGTGCCAGGAGAGCTAATCCAAAGACCTCATCGCACCTCCTCTTCATCCCATCTCCTCATCAAATCCAGATCTTCAGCATCATCACCAGTGTCTAGACCCCGGGGGGTTCCCTATATGCTCACGGCTGTATTTCCCCCTTTAGATATACCATTTCAGGATCGGGGTCTAATCGCCAAAGACTTAACATTTATCATATGACATGTGTCAATAAATGTTCTTTAAACAAAATGAAGTGAAGACTGAATTAACTGTCTGGTGGCTTCATTCGGCCGCCAGGAAATTACAATGGCAGTTCTGACACGTGCCCTTAGATGCATAAGTGGGTATTTTTTGACCCGGTGAGGTGGTTTCTTAGAGTATCTTTGTAATTACATTTTTTTATCATTTCTTATTCCAGCTATTCCTCGAAAAACATGTTTTGGATATCATGCCATTCACATTTTAAATTTAAATTTTAAGAAATTGTAGTTTTTGTATTACTACCCCAAGCTTCCATAAGTGGGTCAAAAATGACCCGCATGCATTTTCTATGGAATTTCATTTTTTTTCAAAATGTAAATGTATTTTCTAAAATTATAAATAGTGAAAAATTAAATATAAAATATTTCTAGTGTGAACCAAAATATAATACAAGTGATTTTTCTTAACCAAAATGACAAAAATGGCATAAAAACACCTCTTATTCTAATACGGGTCCTTTTTGACCCACTTATGGAAGAGTGTAGGGTCCAGTCACTCGTGCATCTAAGGGTTAAATGACGTCATGTGTTGCCGATGCTTTGACAGAAACATGTGACATCATACAAAACCATTGAGGAGGCAATACTGGGGGTGATTTCACACATGCACAGTGCACATATTGTCCATAATGATAGGTCACAAGATGTTTAAAATGTTGTGCTTTAATCCAACTCTTCTGTACACCGTCTGTTCATTAAATTATACATTCAAAAATCTTTACTGTCAATGGAGAGGAGCAGCGATGACGTTATTTGTAGGTCGAGCCTGAGGGTAGCATCGCAAAGTGCTCCCTCGACAAAAACCAATGGGATATTTCCATTTGATTTCGGTATATTGCTCATTTTTAGGACTCGTTCCCGCACCACTCTCTACTTGTAGGACATTATTCATACCATGCGGCTAATTCGCAGTCTAATCAAACTAATAATGCTTGTAATATGTATAAATGTTTCTCCCTGAGCTTGTTGTGACACCAAGGAGCTTGTTGTGACACCAAGGAACATGAATACACATCACAGGATAAATATCACAGAAACTGTTCCAGCAACAAGTTAATAACTCCATGTTTACTTCTCATTTTATCAAAATGAAACTATCTTTCCTCGTTGTTTCGAACAAATAAACCGACCTACAGGTGAGAAATCGCCCTTTATCATTAAGGTGTCATGGCTAGGACAAAGTTACAAAGTGCTGTAAGAGATAATTGTGCCAAACATGAAATAAAGTCAAGTAATTCTCATCCATCGAGCTGCTCGTTGATCATCAGGCTTCTGTACGTCAAACATGTTCATTTGGAGGAGACCAGGGTAAAGCTCCTGTTCTGAGTCCATGTGTCAGAGAGGCTTCTTCTTCTCCTGCTGTCTTCTCATCGGAGCACATTCATTGGTCACGTGTGTCCCGTGTGTGTCCCCCTCAGTCTCTCAGGGACGTTCAGATCAGGAACCTCCGGGCTGTGGCTTCTCTTTAAGGTCCATGCCTGGAGACGGATCTGAGGGATAAACCGTGTCTATTAGTCTGAGGGATTATTAACAGAGAACTGATGACATACAACGAGCCAAACAAGTGAATGCGCTACAACGGCCCTAACACTGTTATTAGGAGAAAGGCGCTACAGCTTCAAAAAGCAGGCAAATATTAACACAAAAATGTACCGAAACACATGTGCGGGGGGGGTAACACTGACTTTGGACCCCCCTGAAAATGAAAAGTTTAGGATTAAACAATTTCTTGGCTGACGGAATAGGCGGAACTAACGTTATTTGTCATTCTAGTCGGACCCATTAGAGCAGGGGTGTCAAACTCAATTTCATCGCGGGCCACATTAGCATTATGGTTGCACTCAAAGGGCCGGTTGTAACTATATAAATATACATATATAAATATATATATAAAATAATGTATTATATTACATTATTGCCTCTGAATTGGATTATTATCGGATAGGATAATAACTTAGTAATTAACTACGTCTGAAAGCAGAAGTCCATTGCAAATAATTGCAAGTCTCTTCAGTGCGCATGTCACAAAACGAGATGCATTGTGGGACATGTAGTTTATGGGCAACCTGCTACTGTAAAGCGGCATCTAAACGTATTATATTCTTTGTAAGCTCTTGCGGGCCACATAAAATGAAGTCGCGGGCCAGATTTGGCCCCCGGGCCTTGAGTTTGACACCCCTGCATTAGAGCGTAAAAACTGTAACTATAAGTATCTGAAATAAATATGTGTACCAATAACTGTATTGCATTGTTTTCTTACTGTCTTTGTCTTTTTCGCCCTGCATTTATTGTGCCCCTCTCAGAAAATAACTGGTCCCAGCCTGGCCCCCCCAGTCACTAAAAGCGCTGCTAATACAAAACGCTGCAAGAAGCCCAAAACGCAACGTAAACCAGGGAACACCGAAGTTCAGGATTAAAAAGCTGGTAACTGTCAGTCTCTGAAAATGTGTGTGCTTCATAACTGCTAGTGTGTTGTCAATATTTGTGAAATGACTAAGTCAGCTAGCTAGGTTTCAACAGAACTGCAATAATATCAGAAGAAATCATGCGATCACATTGTTCAAATAAGCTGATAAAACATTTAAGGTAAGTTTCCAACAACAGTAACGGTTTGAACAACTTTAGAAACCCAGAACGTCAACAAGCGCTCCGGTCCCAGCTGTTTCTGTTGTGTTGTCAAGTAGGTGAAGATGTTTCCTCATTTGTAAATCATTTTTTAAACGACAGTGTGTTTCTCCTCATAGAAATGTTTAGGGCCGTTGTAACGCGTTGGCACCTGTCGGACACCGTACTTCCTGGTTCGTTATACCACCAAAAATCACAAAGACACTGCTTGTAAACAATCTATCAGGAGAAATAAGGGTCAGTAAGTCCTCAATGCATTATACATGAATTCTGGCAGGATAATATTGGTGCAAACTGACAGATATCCTCTTCCCGTCATATCTCAACACTTCGGTATAGCAGTCTCTTTAAATTATAAAGTCTTTGTACACAGCCTAAATAGTACATCGAGCATCAGATCACTATCCAGGGTGATATTGTAGGGATTCAATTCACTGTACTGTTTATACCTGAAAAACCTGAGTGTTTACCTGTTTGGCCGTTTCTATGGTGACGCTGGACAAAAAGGAGCAGCAGGAAGAGACAGAAGCTGATGAATGACGTCACTGTGCAACACAACAGGAAGGAGTAACTGCCCTGACTGTCTATCACCTGGACACACACACACACACACACACACACACACACACACACACACACACACACACAAAAAACACAATTGAAGTAGCAACAGACCAGGTTTATAATTGAAGACACTGTCGGCCACACACTCATCCTCATGAACAATGATGCTGACAACCAGTTAAACTACATGTGCAACATTGTGACAATGAGGTATCAAGAAAAATAAACGTGCCGAGATTAAATGAACTGATTATTGTGAATTAAGGGACATTTAAAGAGTGTGAAGGGTGTTACCGATCCGATGATTAGCTGCAGCAGCATCTCTCCGGTGCTGGCACTGGTCACCAGGACCATGGTGGCACAACCTGAAACACACAGGAAATACATGATGTAATGAAGGATTTGATATGATGGGAATTGAGAATCATTAACATGTATCAGAGGTTTAATCATCAACCGGTCCAGATGTCCAACGTTACTCTCTTTTATTTGCATGTATGCTTGGGCGTGCAAACACACACACACACACACACCTAAATGTGTGCAATAACCTGTTTGTCCCATTCTTGGGTTTGTCACTCGTTCCTTAATTTACTTTCAGGTTATTCTTCCAGTTGTTCTACTTTGTTTGTTCCGTTTTTTGTGGTGTATTGTAAACGCAGAAGCAGGGAAGCTGCATGTATGAAAATGGTCTTAATACAAATCATTAACACACGACATGAGGAAGGATCTTTTTCAGTGGAAGAAAAAGTATTCAGATTCTTTACTTGAGTAAAAGTACTAAAACCACACTGTACAAATTCTTATTCTAATGTTGGATGGTTTACACCGTATAATCTTATTTAAAAAGTTTTCCTTAGTTATTGTGTTTCAAAATCTGAATGTATGAAGTAACTAGTAAATACAGTAAGTCTGTAAAATAAATAGTACAGTAGAGTAAAGTAGTATACAAATGAAATGAAAAGTCCAAGTAGTGTCTCTACTTTAAAGAGTCCTCTCCTGCTGATGATCAGGTGTATATCAGTATGTAGTGTCTCTACTTTAAAGAGTCCTCTCCTGCTGATGTTCAGGTGTATATCAGTATGTAGTGTCTCTACTTTAAATAGTCCTCTCCTGCTGATGTTCAGGTGTATATCAGTATGTAGTGTCTCTACTTTAAAGAGTCCTCTCCTGCTGATGTTCAGGTGTATATCAGTATGTAGTGTCTCTACTTTAAATAGTCCTCTCCTGCTGATGTTCAGGTGTATATCAGTATGTAGTGTCTCTACTTTAAAGAGTCCTCTCCTGCTGATGTTCAGGTGTATATCAGTATGTAGTGTCTCTACTTTAAAGAGTCCTCTCCTGCTGATGTTCAGGTGTATATCAGTATGTAGTGTCTCTACTTTAAAGAGTCCTCTCCTGCTGATGTGCAGGTGTATATCAGTATGTAGTGTCTCTACTTTAAAGAGTCCTCTCCTGCTGATGTTCAGGTGTATATCAGTAAGTAGTGTCTCTACTTTAAAGAGTCCTCTCCTGCTGATGTTCAGGTGTATATCAGTATGTAGTGTCTCTACTTTAAAGAGTCCTCTCCTGCTGATGTTCAGGTGTATATCAGTATGTAGTGTCTCTACTTTAAAGAGTCCTCTCCTGCTGATGTTCAGGTGTATATCAGTATGTAGTGTCTCTACTTTAAAGAGTCCTCTCCTGCTGATGTTCAGGTGTATATCAGTATGTAGTGTCTCTACTTTAAAGAGTTCTCTCCTGCTGATGTTCAGGTGTATATCAGTATGTAGTGTCTCTACTTTAAAGAGTCCTCTCCTGCTGATGTTCAGGTGTATATCAGTATGTAGTGTCTCTACTTTAAAGAGTCCTCTCCTGCTGATGTTCAGGTGTATATCAGTATGTAGTGTCTCTACTTTAAAGAGTCCTCTCCTGCTGATGTTCAGGTGTATATCAGTATGTAGTGTCTCTACTGGGACATGTCTCCATGCTTTAATGTTCAAAAAGCTCTTTATTTCTCTCATACTGCCTGTGCTGCAGCACCTCTTTTCACCCTCTGTCTGAAACCAGAGCCCAGTCTGCTCTGATTGGTTAGCTGGCCGGCTCTGTTGTGATTGGGTCTTACCTTTGTAGTCGAGTATGTCCTCTGTGAAGGCCAGCATGGAGGGGAACACACTGCTGATGCACAGTCCCAACACACAGGTGCCGATGAAGAGGAACACACAGCTGGTGTAGAAGATCATCAACAGGCACTGAACCAGGATCACCCCGAGCTGAAAGAAAAATGGGCAATGATAACTTAACAGAAGTCTGCAGTTAACAACAATAAAGCACAGTTGTACTTGCCGTGCAAAATGTAACCCATATTACAGTAAATATCAACAAAATAAAACACATATCGGACTAGTTTCTACAAATTTCAACAAGAAAATGACAACGATTGTATCCAACTGCACAGCAAGCATACCCGTAATTCCATAAAAAGATCAATGGATGTTGTTGTTGTCTTTTTCGTATGAAGGCCACCATAGTCTGTCTTTTTGAGCCGAAATAGCTCAGTTGGGAGAGTGTCTTTGTCTGGTGGACATGTAGGTGCATTCATACCTGCAATTTAAACTGCAGAAAAGCTGGTCGGATGATCAGTAACAATGTAGTTTTGTTTTCCATCCTACAACCTTTCATTCAATAATACTAAGTGGCAGTGTCAGTCGAAATGAGAATGATCCAGGCACCTCTTTTGTTGTAAAAATGACTTTTCAGAAAGTGCGTACTTGAAGTAATACTAGATGGGCTGACACATAGCACTTGACTAGCATATCCGCAGTTTTACATTGAAGGTATGTATTAGTGAAACTGAATGACGAACAGACATCAAGACAGATTGCTATGTTTCATCAGCTCTAACCATCAAGGTTGTGCCCAAAACTGTCCTCTTTGCTGCCGAAACCATGCAGGGATCGAACCAGGGACCAGTAGATCTTCAGTCTAACGCTTCCAACTGAGCTATTTCGGCACAAAAGGTTGTTTTCTGGTGGCTTTCAAATGGAAAACAAAACAACAATGTCTCTGAGCATGTGACTAGCATTTCTGCAGTTCAAATTGAAGGTATGAGTGCACCTACATGTCCACCAGACAAAGGCAGCACACCTCTTGGCTTGCATACTGATGACAACTTCAGAACAACTCTCTATATATAATTAAAACCAACCAAAGAAAAACACAAAATCTGCAAAGCAAACAGTGCCAGCATAACTTTCCGGTTTCCTCACATCATCCATGACTACAATTCACATTTCAGACCAGTAGAAGGAATAGCTCTGCAAAGGTATGTGCTGATATTCACAGTGAACACAATGAACCATTACAATTCACTGTGAGTATATTCAAAGACAAACAGAGACATTTAGTAAGTACTATTCTGTTGTAAATAAAGGGCCTGTATTAGGTTTTAGCCCCTTTAGTTTGGTTTGGCTTAAAGATTGTGTTGTTTGTTTAACTCCTGAATCATCCTCTGGTGATGCCACATCATCCTGTTAGGTGCATGCACGCCCAGTTCAAATATTTGGTCATATTCTTCCACACAACAGCTGGTCATGAGCTTTATTGTTGCATTAACTGAATCGTGATACTAGAAAAGACATCGTGTCATACAGGTCAACGTGGGAAAACCTGTATCCTCTCTGCACTGAGATATTAATTATGCAAAATCCACTTTTCCATGTCTCCTCTACATCAACACGTGTCCCCTCTTCTTCATGTCTCTTATACATCAACATGTGTCCCCTCTTCTTCATGTCTCTTATACATCAACATGTGTCCCCTCTGTGTAAAGAGATTCTGAAAGTTTCAGGAACAAAGATTCTCTCTCTTTTTGTCCTGATCCATTTATATAAAAACCTGTCTGAAAATGAGCTGATCAGATTTTGGCCACTTTATGATGTCATAACGATGTTTTGGCTTGATTAGCCAATCAGCAACCAAGGTAACCCCCCCCCCCCCACCTTATCACCTGAATCTCCTCCTAGAGCACCATTGTGTTCTTTCTAACCAAATATCTCTCAGAGGGGCGTGGGGAGGGGCTCCTTATTTTCATCTAAAGTAACAGACAGAGAATCAGCACTTTGGAAACAGGGCTGAAACAGAGGGGATTATGGGATGCTGCAATGATCTGTTTGGTGTTTGCAGCCAAACACTTCAGAGACATGTTTTGTGTATATCTGAGACCTGTAATATATTGATGAAAAACAGAATAATAGGGGACCTTTAAATCTTTGTTCATACCAGACTGACGGTGAGCAGCCTGGGAGCTGAGTATCTGTAGGACAGGTAGATGAAAGCCAGTCTTCCCACTGTGATGGAGGCCCAGAATGTGCTGTCCAGATAGCCTGCAGTCCTATGACCCATCAGCAGAGGAGGGGACACTGCGTAGGTGTAGACGAAGCCAGCGTAAGAGCCCTGCAGCACAACAAATACATCAGGAGGTTAGCAAAGAGTACAGTATGCTTAGTGCTTTGAAGGATGTAAACAGGAAGTACTGATGCCATGTTTGCAATTTACCCATGGATGTGATACTGAATGACATTTTAAAACGGATCGATTGCTTTGAAAGTTTTGAGGTAAAAATAAATGATTATGATTCCAACAGGACTTATGGACAATATGGACAAAAGAGAGAGTATAGAGTGGTGCAGTAATGAGTCCTAAAACCAGGGAATGGGTTAGCAGTTTACCACTTCCTGTTCCCTCGTCTCAAAGTCAACTGTTTTTTAATGTGTTTTCGGTTAGAAGCTTGATATAAGGTCTGTGTCCGTTGTTCAGCTTTGATTCTGTTATGAGTCACATAAGGAGGCACATTTCTTTGCAAATTGTAACCATCAGGAACCAAGGGTTTTTAACTAATAAACTGCCTAGTGACACATCCAATGCTACAGCTTGTACTTCTTTCTGTAAGATATATAGGCCAAATCAGTAACCAGAAAAGCTGTCCGTTGGTTGGCCTGTCCATTTGATCACATGCAGTATCTATGTCTCTTCTAATGTACCCCTAAGAGAACGTGGAAACGAGTGTACGGTCTACATACATGTATGTATGTTTATATGTGTATAGTTGCAGGAAGTCTCACTATTATTCCATCAGTGATGAAGACGACGGCCCCACCGAGAGCGTGGAGGAGGAAAAAAGTAGCCGGGCGACCTCGGAGTTTGGCAAGGTTACAGCAGTAGAAAAAACTCTGATAACCTATAGGACGAAAAGGATACTGAGGTAAGTAATTTCAATTGGGTACAGCGGACACAAACATGAATCTATATGCTTCACCTTCATCACTGTCCTCAAAGGGGGTGGCCTGAGAGTCGGCTCTCTCAATGAGGCGTGTACCGGTGCTTGAGCAAGGCAGCAGTCTCTCATGGCACATCAGAGCTAACACTGCTGCTGGCACTGGGAGCTGACACACACACACACACACACACACACACACACACACACACACACACACACACACACACACACACACACACACACACACACACACACACACACACACACAACCACACACACACACACACACACACACACACACACACACACACACACACACACACACACACACACACACACACACACACACACACACACACACACACACACACACACACACACACACACACACACACACACACACACACACACACACACACACACACACAAAGAGGGTATTGTCACCGAGTTCACGTCAACACTTCCTGTCAGCTGATTCAAATTGTAACTCTCCCTTTATAGAAGTAGTGTCCATGCCACTCCATTTGCCTCGGCTTAAAACAGACACAGTTCCAACTGAATAATGTAGTGATATTTTGCTCAGGTGGGGGCTAAAAGAGGCCTAGTGTGCTTTTTGGAGTTCCCCCTTTCCTGCATGTAAATGGTCTGCAAATGTTTAAATCCCTGTGTCCTGAGTGTCCTACATTTCATGATTAAGCTCAAGAAGAATCAGTATTGATGTTTGTTTTTTTTGCTCTGTAAGTCCAAGAAGCCATTTCTATCCCAAATCATTTGTAGTCAATGAGTGACTGAAGTCTGGCACCCATAGACTTGGAAAAAATAGCAGAGTAGAAGAGACTCCTGACTCTATGTCATGAGTTATCTTTAATTTCATTTAGGGACTTTCATTGAGCCATAAACAGATCATTTATACTAGCATGCACTGTATACTATATTATTACATATAGAGCCCTGCGTGGAAATGCACCGGAATATATATGTGACCTTCTCCATCCTTACATTGCGAGTAGGTCACTTAGGTCTTCAGACCAGGGCCTACTGGCTGTCCCACGGTCTCGTTTAAAAACGAAAGGTGACCGTGCCTTTCAGGTGGTGCTCCAACACTGTGGAACTCTCTTCCTAAAGGCATCCGCTCTGCAGTCTCGGTAGAAGCTTTTAAAAAAACTACTGAAGACCTATCTTTTATTTGAAATGTGTGTGGTGTGTTCTGTTCTTATATTTGTTCCTTTCAGGACTCCACGTGCTCTGTGTTTTGTTTTTATGTTGACCTTAAAAATGTCTGCCTCATGTGGTTATTGTATTCATGTTTCTGTGGTCTTAATTTTAACTTTTGTTCTTACTTGTGAAATTATATTTCTGTGAAAGGTGCTATAATAAATAAACGTATTATTATTATTATTATTATACGTTTCTGTATCATCAATCATATGAAACGTGTAACACTGACATGAACTCACGTTGATCAGAGCGATGATCCAGAAGGCGTAGGACACCCTGGTGATGACCACCCCCTCGGTGTGCAGAGGATACTGGGAGATGTTTGCGATCGCGCCCCCCTGCCCCACCAGGCTGTTGCGGAGGTGACCCAGGTCCGAGGCAGATGATGAGTTCAGGGTCCAGTTTGAACCCAGGACACACGAGTCGTCTGACAGGAAAGGATCAGCCACCAGCGGACTGACCAGCGCTCCAACGCCTATGAAGAAATGCAAGGCCTGGGGCGGGACATGGACATGGGTTATGATGTCAGATTAATTAGTATTTAGAATAGATTTTTCTCTGGGAGCAACTTTTTATTAAATGTTTTAGTCATCTTCACAAAAATAAAATAAGTTAGCGTAACAACAATTAATAATCAACACATTCTCAACACAAGGTTTCCTCCTTGTAAACTAAGTTGGCCATGAGTCCTCTCCTCATCATCTCCCCAAAGGTCAAGGTGGTCATATATGTACAATCTTATTTTGAATGAAGGATATAACCAGGTCAGAAGCTCGCTGTATAGCCTCTAATGTTCCTGCTTTAGCGCTGTTTACAGATGTGATTGACATAAGGTAATCAGATTACATTACTTTTATATTATGATACTCAGATTAGGTTACTGATTACATTTTTAAACAGGTACAGTTTTTTGTGTTAGTACATTTTTGATTGAAGATCTTAGAAACAAAACAAACAATAATAATTACAATAATTATAACAAAGAGAAGCAAAATAAAAATAAATGTTCAGGGTATAACAAAATAAATTCTCAAATAGTTTCCGTCATGTTCAAAAGGGACAAGAAGAAGAAGCTTAAAAACGTTCCTGGACCCCCCAGTTAATCTAACGGAATACATTTTGAAATCAAACACTCACAGCTGTTCCCTCCCCCCTCTCTTCCCCCCCTCTCTCCCCCCCCCTGACCTGCAGGAAGATGGCCGAGTCCCTCTGGTAGAGCTTCACCAGCTGGAGGTTGGAGATGGTGTCGATCACCCCCATGGCTAGACCAGCGATCGCCATGGCGACAGACAGCAGCGACACATGGTTACAGAGCGGGATGATGGAGAACACGAGAGAGATGATGAGCGAGCAGGAGAAGAGTGTCCACAGGGAGGACAGGAGTCTGAGGGGGACATTTTAAATAGACATATTTCAAATTCAGAAGAAGGAATGTAGCCCAAAAGAAAACCAAAAATAAAATGCAGTCTTCCTATAATGTATTTGTCTTTCTTTTCAAATGTATTCTAACATTTTAATCCTGCTAGTAAACCCCATTTTAAAAATGTAATCTGATAACATAATCCAATTACATGTAATCTGTTACTCCCCAAGGCTCCATTGGACTTGTTTACATCTGTAACATAGTGACATCACAATGTAACACTCACGCTTCTATTGGCTAACGCTCCAACACATTGTACGTGACAGGCTAAGGGGTGGGACATCTCTGAAGCGGTTGACCAATCACAACAGAGCCGGCCAGCTAACCAATCAGAGCAGACTGGGCTCTGGTTTCAGACAGAGGGTGAAAAGAGGTGCTGCAGCACAGGCAGTATGAGAAAAATAAAGAGCTTTTTGAACATTAAAGTATGAGACATGTCACAGTAGAGACACTAAATACTGATATACACCTGAACATCAGCAGGAGAGGACTCTTTAAAGTAAAGTAGAGACACTACATACTGATATACACCTGAACATCAGCAGGAGAGGACTCTTTAAAGTAGAGACACTACATACTGATATACACCTGAACATCAGCAGCAGAGGACTCTTTAAAGTAGAGGCACTACATACTGATATACACCTGAACATCAGCAGGAGAGGACTCTTTAAAGTAGAGACACTAAATACAAACATGAACCTGAAAATGAGCAGAATAGGGCCCCTTTAAATGTTTTTCACTCCTAAGTTATCAATGATATTAAAACATGAATTTCCAGCGTATTGTTGCTGCAGTAAAATCACCTTCATGGCTGTTTCTCCCTTATCTTTTACTTATCACACCTCCACATTATCTTCACCTTGTATTCTTTTCATTTCCTGCCAACTTTCCACTCTGCTTTTAACCTTGTCCTAATGTTTGGTTTGTAGGGAGATGTTACCCAGAGCCTGGGATATAAGGGCACAACAATATTATGTTGGACATAACTAGCAGAGCACAATGACTCTACATCTAACAGAGACAGTACACGGCACACTGAACGTGAAATAGATCAATATTATACAATGTTTAAATAAATAACCTGTCCTCAAACAGGATCCACTTTCACACTTCTGAGGAAATACAGACACCTTGAACAGCCGTCTGTCATTTGAATGTTACATATTTGCAAGTCAAATTCAGACCAATATCTTTCTAATCTAAACAAATAGTTTACGATTCCAACCCATTGCAGCTTTTTGGTCGACACAATGAGTCTTAATATGAACACTATAAGAATAAAACGTTTCTTCAAACTTGATCAATACACCAACTTTAAAGTAGGCCTAAAAGCATCACGTCGCCAGACCACTGTAAGCTACATTTATTTATTCAACCTTCTTATAACTTTTTTTTGTGTTTAATAATACAATTGTAGGTACACTGTTAGATATAAAACCTTAAATACTATGGCGACTACACAAGTAGTTTGACTGGGTTATAACATTCCTTTACATCGGATAATACACCAACTTTAAAGAAGGCCTAAAAGCATCACAACGCCAGACCACAGGACATCCCACTCCTTAAACAAAATGTATATTTATTCAACCTTCTTATATGTTTTTGTGTGTGTAATAATACAAATGTAGGGACATTGTTAGACAGAAACCATATGGCGACTACACAGTATCTACTACAGACTCATTAGTCTTACTATGACTCTGAATATTATGGGAATATAACATTATTTTGCATTTCATCAACGCACTAACATTAAAGTCCCCCTTCTGCTCCAGTAGGACTCAGATGTTGCTCTTTTCTTTTCATGTGATGTTTGGTGATGTTGTTTATTTGTTTTGTTTATTTCCGTTAACTGTCAAGTGGGAACTAAGTATTGTTTTGTACGTTTTTGTGTTTCCCCTTATTTCCCCATGATACTGTTATACCATGAACGGGATAAATACAAAAAATGAAAAGTAGGCTTAAAGCAGCTCACCAGAGGTGGGAAGTAGTGGAGTACAAATACTTCGTTACTGTACTTTTTCTGGTATCAGTACTTTACTCCACTACTTATTTTTCTGATGACTTTTTACTTTGACTTCTTACATTTTGAACACAAACACCTGTACTTTCTACTTCTTACATTTTCCAAACAGGCTACTTTAGTTTGAATGTGTGTTTGGTGGCGTGATCATTATTATTTAGAGTCATTGCGTGCCTATTGATTTGAACACGATCCGTGTATCCATCATTTCCTGGTCTTCTCTAAAGAAGAGGGACCAATGAAAACTTTGTAATTTTGCCGTTGTTCAGCATGGAAACATTCATTAGCTAACAATAACATTATTGTTCTATTAATATAAAGGGAGGTCAGTTACTCATTAAAACAGCTGCTAGTTATGGGAACTTTTTACTTAAGTACATTTCGAAGCCCATACTTCTTTACTTTTACTTGAGTAAAGAAGTTTAGTCAGCACTTCTACTTTTACCAGAGTATTTTTAAACACGAGTATCCGTACTTCTACTTGAGTAAAGGATGTGTGTACTTTTGCCATCTCTTCAGCTCACTCACGTTTTCTTGAAGAGCCCCCCCAGGCTGCTGCCCACCAGCAGGAAGAACTGCTGGGAGAAGAAGACCCAGGTGATCTGCTGCAGGCTGGAGTGGGTCTGACAGCGGAGGTCCAGCACCGTGGGGCCCAGGAAGGCGATGCACAGCCCGAAGCTGAAGAAAACACTCCAGTAGGTGAGCGTGTATTTCCAGTGGCGCTTAAAGAGCGCCCATATCCGCTCGTCCAGCAGCTTCATGTCGGAGCTTCACCTTCGGATCTCTGCGGAGCTTCTCATGAATCTGCCTCAGTGTGAGCAGCTCTGTCAGACAGACCTCCACTCACTACCGGAGGAGAAAGTAAACACAGTCTGACCAGTCCGGGCACTTTCCCAGTTTAGTGCCACTTACTGACTGACTGCTGACTGACGGACGAGGCGCTGATTGGCTGATAAACCAATGTACCGCCCACTGGGTGAATGCTTACAGATCCAGTGATGAAGTTGGAGCTACTGTAATTGTTGTTTTTATTTATTATTGAGTGGTGCAGTGATGAGTCCTAAAACCCGGAAGTGAGTTAGCATTTTACTACCGGTTCCCTCGTCTAGGGAGTCAATGGGATTTCTCCATAGGATTTTGGAAAATAGCTTGAAATAAGGTCTGTGGAAAACGAACCTGTTTGATAAATGCACGTTTTGTTCAGCCGGATAATATCCACATGTCTACCCTACTTTTAATGTCTACCCATAAATCTAATCGCCAGAAGAGAGGCGAAGTCCCTCCCCTTCTGGTGGGAGTCATGGGACCTTATTTCGGAAAAAGTTTGTATTGAAGTCAATGGAGAGAGAAAGATTATCTTTCGATCCCGTTTGAATTGTGCCACGAATTACACATATGATGTTTGTCAATCTTAAATAATAATTTCCATGTCAAAAAAGTCACAGTTTGTCGTAAAACTGTTGAAATATAAGACTATGAAAAATACGCAACTAGAAAGACTACAAATCCCAGAATCCCGGTCCCGCATGCTGGCTCTTACGGAACCGACTAACTCCCCTTGTGTGTATGTACAGCTCTCAACATGCCCAGACTTGTAGTGATTTTCACCTCTTTTAATACTTTTCGCCTCATTCTGAAAGAAAGAAGTGAAATGTGCCAACGTGACGGCCGTCTTGGTGTGTGGTGCGAGACGGGAGATGTAGTTCATTGAGCGGTTTCACACAAGAAAAGTGTTACTTCACAGTTTTACGACACATTTTTATTTTTTTGACTTGTAAAATTATCTTTAAATTGACAAACATCATATGTGTAATTCGTGGCACAATTCAAACGGGATCGAAAGATAATCTTTCTCTCTCCATTGACTTCAATGCATAACTTTTCCGAAATAAGGTCCCATGGAGCTCAACAGGAAGGGGAGGGACTTCGCCTCTCGGTGGACCTCCATGGGACCTTATTTCGGAAAAAGTATGTTTTGAAGTCAATGGAGAGAGAAACGTTATCTTTCGATCCCGTTTGAATTGTGCCACGAATTACACATATGATGTTAGTCAATTTAAAAGATAATTTTGCAAGTCAACATTTTTTAAATGTGTCGTAAAACTGTGAAGTAACACTTTTTTTTGTGTGAAACGCTCAATGAACTACATCTCTGGTCTCGCACACGTCACCAACACCAAGATGGCCGTCACGTTAGCACATTTCACTTCTTTCTTTCAGAATGAGGCGAAAAGTATTACAAGAAGTGAAAATCACTCCAAGTCTGGGCATGTTGAGAGCTGTACATACACACAAGGGGAGTTAGTCGGTTCCGTAAGAGCCAGCATGCGGGACCGGCTTTACAAGGTTTCGGTGAGTAACAGGAGTGTAATGTGTAACGTTAATGACATCACTTACACGACTCTGGGATTTGTAGTCTTTCTAGTTGCATATTTAAAACAGTTTTACGACAAACTGTGACTTTGTTGACATGGAAATGATTTTTTAAGATTGACAAACATCATATGTGTAATTCGTGGCACAATTCAAACGGGATCGAAAGATAATCTTTCTCTCTCCATTGACTTCAATATATAATTTTTCCGAAATAAGGTCCCATGGGGCGGAAGTAGATGGGTGGGACTTCGCCTCTCTATAAACGAACTACAGCCGAGTACAGCAGGGTCGCACGACTTCAACATCACGCCAACTTAAGATCGATATTCAAACATACAGATTCAAAATGGTACAAGTTGAAGCGTTTGTTTTAACAGTTTACAGGAGGCAGGTACTTGCTTTCAAGCAGAACAGGGGCAAACAAACTTAGCGGGAGTGTTTACGTGTTCGGCATAATGACGTACAAAGTCCTCGACAACTTATGTAGTCCTATTCAGCCACTTGTTAACAACCATCGTTTTTCAGACACGTAAACTCTTCGGAAATCACCACCAGTGCTCCACTGCTGATGGATTTAATGTCGTAGAACAAAACGTGATCCGTTGTGTCAACCACAGACCTTATTTCGAGCTATTTTCCAAAATCCTATGGAGAAATTCATTAATTATTAATTGTTATGGTTGTTGATTAACAGTACCAAAAGATACAAATGTCAAATTAATATTAAGAACGCTGTGAGAAGGTTTTTGTTTTTGCAAAGCGGGAAAGCAAATATTGAAATGAAGAAACAAATGATCATTTTCTAAAAAAGTGACTATGCATATGGATGAATATATTTGTGTGAATAACAATATGTTCTCATTGTTGCAGTGTTATAGCCTGCTTTTTGGATACACAGTTGTGCATTTTTTCCAGACCAATTTATAATTATCTATGTCATACCAGTATGCCTAATACATTTCCTAAATTCTCATGTTGAAGACCGTTTAAAACCCCCACAGTTTTTCAATACAAAGTGACGCCCTTGGATGTAGCAATTAAACACTTTACTAGAAGAAATGACTTAAGCACAAACAAATCTTAACCCTGCGTTTATATATCCATCACTGAACCAGTTGTCTACTACATAGTTAATTTGATGTATTACTTCATAATGCAAAGACAAGCTAAGAAAACCAGTGGGAAATGTATCGGTGGGGCTTTGACAGGCCGTGGTGGAAAGTAACTAAGTACATTTACTAGAATACGGTTCTTAATTGGAAGTATTTCCATTTTATGCTATTCATTTTTTATTAGTAAGTCATAATTTAATAAAACACTCAGCACTGTCACAGTCCACAGAAGGTCAGATTTGACTCATGATGTTATAACTCTTGGTGCTGTTATGCAATGTTCCAGTGCAAGTATTAGAGCGATAGCACCATCTTCTGTTCATCTATGTTATTGTACATTTACCCTTATACTACCTCCTCAAAGAAGTACATCATATTGTCAAAATAACCTCGTAAATAGTTGAAAAAAGGTGAGTGTGTGCCAGAGTTTCCATAGTTTATTTATTCATTAATCAATCAATTACTCAATCAATGTTATGCCTTTTGGCAGTCACAGTACATTCAATTTCTCATTTCATAACAGTGTAGACAAATCCCACAAAATATCACATCTCATACAAAATCTAAATTTATCTTTTATAAAACATTTAGACATCTGCAGGTTTTTTTCTTTATTATACTTTAAATACAGCTTTCTATTTTTAAACGGCATAAAACTCACTGAGAAAGATGAAAACATCTGTTAAAATACATATATATATATATTATTTCTTTTTCATTACAGTATTTAAAATAGCTTAATTTACCACGACTAAATGCACAGTAATACTTCTGCCACTGAGGGGAGGAAGGGAGAGGTTGAAAGAGTAACATCCACAGATATACATCCCTCTGAAGTTTCTCGACTCATTGCTTTTAACTTGCTCTTTCTGACACATGAACAGAGGGTTGAACGGTTCCAACGTGAATCTTCATTCAGCGTAATTCACTTCAACATCTTTCAGAGGCAATTTACCTTTACGTCTACCTTTGTAGTCTCTGAACAGTCTCTTTTGCTTTTAGTAAACAATCTAGCCTCATACAGTAGGTCCTAATCATATAGAAGTTGTCTTTATAAATCAAACGTAACTGTAGACTTGCAGTAGATTTCTTGAAGACGTTTTTGCCTTTTATCCAAAAAGCTTTTCTCAGTTCTCAGTGACATGTTAGGAGTGCACGCAAGAGGACATATAATTCTAACTTTCAGGTTCATATTTTGTGTCTCTATTGTGGCTTTAATGTTCAAAAAGCTCTTTATTTTTCTCATACTGCCTGTGCTGCAGCACCTCTTTTCACCCTCTGTCTGAAACCAGAGCCCAGTCTGCAAGAATAGTCATGTGAGAGTCGTCAGTTCTACAGTATGTATGGACAATGGGGCATTACATGTACTGTATGGACTACCTCAAACAAAGTCCTTAATGGATGATCTTTACCTTTTTAACGTTGGGACTTAAAAGGCAGCATTCAACAATTCCTGTAAAAGTCTCAAAAGATAAAACGTGAGAAGCACGTATGTCCCATACAGCACGAATAGACACAATTTGAACTTCTCTCCCAAGCTTTCAAGAGGAAAGACTGTACTTTGTTAACCCAATTAGAACGGTTATTACGTGTCCCAGTGTGTTATGTTCTTGATATAAAATCACATTTTGGCAATTGAGGGCTATCTTCACGGTTCAAATTGCCAATTAATGAGGGAAATGGATATGGTTAGAATGTTAGAAATCTGTTCAGCTAATACGGACACAGCAATCTCTAAAGAAAATAGGACAACTGTCTTTAGGGCGTAGGTTGGAAAGAGTATAACATCAGTAAGCCATAAGCCGTAGGAGGGTGATTTCACCATTTGATCTAGAGATGCTTAAATTGCTGCGGATATTCATTTAAGGAACATAGATGAAAGCTGTTGCCTTCAGAGGTGATTAGACAACAGAACTAGTTTGTTTTAACCATACCTCGGCCTGAATACCCGCATGTCAATCAGAACTGAGTGAGTCTTTAGATGAAAGGCTTAATGTCTATTCTGGATTTCATATGACTTGTATGACGGGGAATTTTCTTCGACCTGCAGCAGATGGAGAGGGCAGATTAAGGAGAGGGCAGTTTAGCCGCAAACCCTTATTAATTTGTGTCCATAGATCCCTCCTGTATGCATAACCCCTGGGCTAAGTCACATGTAAAGAACATTATATATGGAAGATTTGATGGTTTCACTTCAGCATATACTCTCTAGTTTTTCTTAGTCACACCATATGTTCTATTTTCTGCTTATTGTGGTCCAAAAGCCAAACGCTGCTCCCTGGCAATAGCTGTGCAAAAAATAAGGGATAGTGGTGAGTCCTACTAAGAGCTATTTGCTACCAGAAAGTATTTGTAGGTAAGAATATCAGAGCTTAAGGACGTCGGTACAATATGTGGTCATATTTAGGAACCATGTATAGGAGGACACATAGGAAAGGAGTACGCTTCAGAGGACACTTCTGGTTTGTGCAAATAGGAGACTAAGAAATACACACACTCATGGTGCGTTGTTCACACACACAACAAAGCAAAATTTGCCTAACACATTGGCTACACTAGATTAAAAGAAAGGATTCTTCACAAGCTGAAATATCATGCACATTTTACTAAGGCAACTTCAAAAACTGGAGTGTAAGTCAGCTCTTAACACTGGATGTACAGTACTGTAACAAATCTGTCGACATTAATCCATTTTACATTGGAGTTTTGTTACGTGATGGAGAATCATTTGGCTGGTTCAATGTTTGTTTCACATGAGTAAAATTACTTTAAATGAACAGTGTGTTGCTACTACTTCAGTGTTCTGACTGCTTGGGAATGTACCACTTCAAGGCTCACATCCATAGCTGCCATATTTGGGACTCTTCTGACAGGCGTCCAACCATTTAATAACACATAAATCATTTAAGTTGTTTAACCCTTCTATTGTCTTCGTTTTCCCCTTACTTTGGTGTTCTCGGTCAAATTTGACCGGTCCTGTTTTAACTGCTATTACATTAACACAAAAACCATTAATCATCACCAAATTTCATTTAACACCCTTTCAAACTGTAAATATTCAACACAGTCTCACGGCATTTCGTGTTATAGTCACGAAATTAATCTATTGATTCGTGTTCACCAACACGATTTCGCCATTTTTTTCGTGTCACACAGAACGATTTTAAAAGCAATGTAAATAATAACAAATTAGAAGGAAAAAGACATTTAAAAAAATACAGATTTCAGTATTCTGACACAGAACAATTTTAGAGGCAATGTATTTCTATTGGTAGTATGTTTCGTGCCTGCACCAAATAATAACAAATTAGAAGGAAAAAAAGATGACAAAAAATACAGATGTCAGTATTCTGAGGCTCTGAGCCATTTCTTTTCCTCGTGGACGGCAAAAAAACTCCCACATTATACAATTTAAAATAAAAGGGATAGGGTTAGGCTTAGGGTAAGATATTGAGTAAGAACATGTTTTTATGAACCACACAGCTTCTGGTCTTCCAAGACCCGACCGGACAAAAAGACGTGTTGCAGGCACGAAACACACTACCAATAGAAATACATTGCATTTAAAATCGTTCTGTGTGACACGAACAAAATGCGAAAATCGTGTTGGTGAACATGAATCAATAGATTAAATTAATTTCGTGACTAATAACACGAAATGCCGTGAGACTGGGTTGAAATATTATATCAGACTACTGGTATACATGAAAAACTGCAGTAAATGTACAAAGAATAGACACTGAACATGTATTGCGTGTGCCAGGTGTGATCCATGTGGGGGGATGGGCACATTAGAGCGGGAAATGTGTCAAATTGTTCTGTGTGTGTATGTGTGTGTGTTTGTGTGTGCCAGGTGTGATTCACATGGGGGGATTGGGCACATAAGGGGGGGGGGACACATTTAGAATGTGTGTGTGTGTGTGTGTGTGTGTGTGTGTGTGTGTGTGTGTGTGTGTGTGTGTGTGTGTGTGTGTGTGTGTGTGTGTGTGTGTGTGTGTGTGTGTGTGTGTGTGTGTGTGTGTGTGTGTGTGTGTGTGTGTGTGTGTGTGTGTGTGTGTGTGTGTGTGTGTGTTTTATCTGATCCGGATGGTTACTAATTCCTTTTCTATATGGCGGTCATTTTTGACCGGGAACACCATGGGTGTTACAAAGTTGACCAAATCATCCAAAATGCAATGAAAGTGGTGATCAACAATTGTATATGTTCAAATGTCTACTGTGAAGGATATCATAAAGCCTTAATGCAATCGAATGTAAAACAAAAAAAATTATGATTGATGAAAGTAGTAAATCGGTCAGATTTGACCCGAAGACAACAGGAGGGTTACATCATCGCAGCTTCTTAGCTAGCTTGCTTCTCCCGGTAGCTAACTATTATTAGCGCCATATATCATGTTTTAGCTAACGTACTTTGTTAATTTGACCCGTTTAACCACTGCTTAATTAGCCTATAAGCTTATGTATAGCTCACGCAGACATAAATTGTTTAATTGTTCAAACTCTTGTCTTGTAATTTAACAAGTTCCCATTAGCACGAAAGGCCTTAGCCACTGTTAGCATTTTGGGTATTTTAGCAACCTGAGGGCACTTTGGGCTTTTAATAAGCGGTTCTTTTTAGATTCAATATGTTTTCTCTAGTTGTAGGTCAGAAACACAATGATGAAATCTATATTTTATGTGTTAGCTACTGTATTTAGTTGACCCTTTGTGAACTGTTAGATGCTAGCAACCTCATGATAACTTTTGGCTGCTCAATTAGCCTGTTAGCTTATCTATAGCTAACAAATACATAAATTGTTTAAATGTTCAATTTATGATCTTAGCATTTGTAATATTTCGAGCTGCGAGGGAATCTTTTGCAGTTCAGAGGTGGCAGGTGAATCTTTAAGCTACATTTTACAAGAGACAAGCCTTAATCTTAGTCAGACAAACATTTAGCACATTTTTTCAACAAGTTGTTTGACTGAACGGACCTCTACAACCTTAATGTCTGTACACCTGCAAGTGTATAGAGGTTCCAGATGTGCTATAGCTACCTTAAATGGCTAAAGCCCTGGGTATGCTCTAAATGGAAAATATTCAAGTTTGTGTACACTACAACAGAGCAGCTTTTATTTTAGGGGCCTAATGGTCAGAATCATGAGCTATAATGCATGTGTGTCAGCAGAATAATTATACATCTATCATGTTTGAAAATAAGTAATGGCAGCATGTTCAGTGTCGTCGATTGTGCAAATGTGTGCAAATATGTTCTGTATGAGTGTATCTCTGCTCAGTCATTTCACAAGTGTATTTCCAGAAACCATGTGTGAGGCTCCGTGGTGAACTTCCCTGGAAATAAGTGAGTGCACATGAGTCTGTGTGTACATGCAGGTGTGTGCACACAGGTGAGCATGCTTGTGAACGAGCTGAGCTTTGATGGCCTTTGTGCTGTCGTAGGAAAAGCGACTTCTCTTCTCTGAGCGTCTCTGATCTCCTCTGTGACGTCTAGAAGATGCTCTGTCTTCGGTTCTTTCCTCGACCTAAAGAGAGACAAAATGAGATTGAACTCTTTTTGAAAGAATGATGATTATTCACTGTTAGTTAGATTGAAATATATGATACAGTTTGGTTGCAATGACTCATATATCTATATCCAAATTCTGTACTTCATGTAATCTCTACACTTGTAAACCCATGAGTTGCAAACAATAAAAAAAGGATTAAATAATGTAAACTTTAAATAAATTAAGCATTATGAGTTAGGCCATAAAGTTCAATAACTTTACCAGGGGGAAGTAAAGTCATAGAAGGACATGTTAAGTACATTAAGACCTTATTAGAGTATATAAATAGATACATGTATGACAGTAATCTGTATTGAATTAGTCCTTGTTCACTTAAATTGTCTTTACAGTTCTTATCAGACTTGTGGTATTTTTATTTGTGTAATAGCAAACATTGCAGAGCTCTGCTAATTAGCTAAGTCAACAGACACTACATGAGTTGAGATGTTGTCAGGGATAAAACATAGGTTGGCTTAAATATGTTTCATAGCAGACAATCTGAAAACGTACCGTGTTATCATGCAATAAATATCAGTGAGACTCAAAACATTTGTGTTATATTAAAATGTACTTTGAGAATAATAAACAAACTCATGTGAATGCATGGCATATACACACAATGTGCATAGCTATACAGACGTGAAGAACATAGTCAACTTAGAAGTCTAGCTTCTCCGGATCAAATGAGGGGCTTTCCTTTTAGAGATACTAACTTCTGGTAATAAATAGTGTTTGCAGCAGGATCTTACCTAAAGGCTGAAACACTGAGCTGCGGTGGCCTGGGTCCTTCTGGAGCTGGAGCTCTTTGAGGGAAAACACTGAAGCAGCTAAACACATAAAGGGACAGAGGATGACTTAGAAGCATGAAAATTAGGCATGTTTCAGGATTGCTGGATAACTGCTTCTCTGCTTTAAGAGCGATAAAACACAGAGGTTGACAACATTGACGTAGAGTTTAGCTAACAGGCTATATGCTTATAATAAAAGACATAGACAAACAACTAAATAAGGCAGATACTTTAGCCAAATGCAAGGTTTCAAAATGATATAAGAGTTCTGGTGATCTCAGCACTTGACTTGAAAACAATGGCATGGAGTTTAGCTAACAGGGTTATGTGGTAATAATAAAAGACATTGACAAAAAACTACAAAAGGCAGATATGTTAGCCACATGCAAGGTTTGAAAATGTGGTAATGGTACACACTTATATAAGAATTATGGTTAGCACTTCAATTAATTTAAACCCAAAGCTCTTAAAACTAACAATGTGTTTTGTCACATCTTTTCTGACCTTTATTCTTTGTTAGCAATGTGCAGTTCATGTGCACTTTTGGAAAGGCCACCGCTAAGAAGGCAAAGTGGCACTTTTCAGAAGAAGTTGAGTCATACTGTATGTTCACAACCACACAACTCAAAGTGTGTGTGTGTGTGTGTGTGTGTGTGTGTGTCTGTGTGTGTGTGTGTGTGTGTGTGTGTGTGTGTGTGTGTGTGTGTGTGTGTGTGTGTGTGTGTGTGTGTGTGTGTCTGCTTACTGTCTGCCAAATTATGTATATTATTTCCCAGACTGGTGAAGTAGGGGTATCGTAGAGAGGCTTCAGCAGAGACTCTGCTCCTGTTGTCATACTGCAATCACAGAATAAAAGCAGCACATTAATCACAGTCCACTTCTTCTCACATTCAGGTGAGTCACAGTCCTTTTTCTTTGTGTCATACCAGCAGCAGAGCGGTCAGCATGTCGATCCCTTCTGTGTCCAACCTGATGCAGAGAAACAAATACAATCAGTCTGTATTGTGACTATTAAGGGAACAACTACATGCTGATTAGGAAAGTACATACACATTAGCTTCAATTGTTTGTTTTTTCCACAAATGATCCCCCAAAAGGTCTATATTTTTTCAAAGCAATAATATATTGTATTAGTAAGCTAAAAGATGGAAAGATAACTTGCTTTTTTTAATACAATTTTCTTATAAAAGGGTGGATCTTTTTCTTTTTTCTACGACATAAAAGGCAGTAAATACCCCACTTTATTAAGCTTCTTTGTGTTTTAAAAAAGGCGGATGATAACAAGGGGCTAAATGAGACTACTTAGCGTCATCAAGCTGAACATTAGCAACCTTTAGCTTAGCGTCAGTGATGCACAACCATCTTGTAGTTGGCTTATATCATAACGTTAGCTTTTCAATTCTGGCGATTGCATTTCCGCTTCGAAAATCACATACTGGGTTTAATGTGTGGAGACAATCCTGCTGAACAAAAGTGTTTACCACAGAGCTTATTTTCTGCAATATACCAGATCCAATGGAAAAATCCCATTCGCTTTTTGACGAGTGAGCCCTTGTGATGCTAACTTCCGGATCGGCAAACAAAATAAGTCATCCGTGCACCACTCTATACCTTTCCTTGTTGACATCAGATTAACAATTTGATAATTCAGTTTATAACAAAAGTGGCAGTGTGCAGTTAGCCTAGTTAGCATCTGTTAGCGTTCTAAAAGCAAAGCTAAAGTAGTGAACACAGCCGCTCCTAAAGCTGCAAGCATGACTGTAGACAAAGTAGACATTGTAGAGTCTTTTAAATTGTTCCTCAGACACTTCTCATCTGAGCAGTAACAGTTATTGTTACCTGGGCACATGGTTGATGAGAGCTTGAGGTCTGTATTGAGGAAACAGGTAAGACCTAAACTCCTCATTACAACTGATACCAGGCCAAGTCTCTTCGGTTGGAGTGCCTGAAAGACAAAGAAACAAAGACATGTAAGCTTGCATGCTTACATCACTTCTTCTCATTGCACATATTACTCAATCTTAGCCTGTGCTTTCTTACCAACAAGCCTAAAGATTAAGTGTAGCTCCTCCTTCACCGTGGCCCCAGGAAACAGTGGACGACCTGTTGCCATCTCAAACATGATGCAGCCCACGCCCCTGCAAGAGGAGAGGAAGAAACAGGGATGAGGAGCAAATAAAAAGAGCCCTTCAATTATGGACCCTAGGTGATCATCAAACGCACTAACACACTTCAAAGAGCGCCGATCATAAGTGCAAACACATGTGGTGTGAGTGGGCACGGTGCAGCCCTTTGTTCCATCACTGACGCAGTAATGAAGAGGCGCCCTGTGGTCACAGAAGAGGATATGTAGCTAGGTGAGCTCATAAAAGGCTGGAGGCTGCTAGAGAAACACTTTTAATCCTCATTGGTTTACCAGATCTGTGTGCGTTTTCCAGAGATGGCAAAAGTACACGCATCCTTTACTCAAGTAGAAGTACAGATACTCATATTTACTCAAGTAAAAGTAAAGAAGTATGGGCTTTGAAATGTACTTAAGTAAAAAGTACCCATAACTAGCAGCTGATTTAAAGAGTACCTGACCTCCCTTTATATGAATAGAACAATAATGTCATTGTTAGCTAATGAATGTTTCCATGCTGAACAACGGCAACATGACAACGTTTTCATTGGCCCCTCTTCTTTAGAGAAGACCAGGAAATGATGGATACACGGATCGTGTTCAAATCAATAGGCACGCAATGACTCTAAATAATAATGATCACGCCACCAAACACACATTCAAACTAAAGTAACCAGCCTGTTTGGGAAATGTAAGAAGTAGAAAGTACAGGTATTTGTGTTCAAAATGTAAGAAGTAGAAAGTACAGGTATTTGTGTTCAAAATGTAAGAAGTAAAAGTAAGAAGTCGTCAGAAAAATAAGTAGTGGAGTGAAGTACTGATACCAGAAAAATGTACTTAAGTACAGTAACGAAGTATTTGTACTCCACTGCTTCCCACCTCTGGTGTTTTCCACCATGGCATGCTGCTAATCAGCCAAAATGCACAAGGAATATGCAGATGAATAAGCTCCATTGTACGAATAGTGACTAATCTCTCGGTTATTACCTGTGAGACTTTAATAGATATGCATGATTCATAGAAATCCTAGATGATCCTCTAGTTATTAAACATTCATTTCATTTACCAAGAGACATAAATGCTCAGTACCAGGGCTGATATCCTGGTGGGGTTCTCTGACTGACATCCAGTTTTAGGTTGACACTACTATTGGTTTGCAGAAAGATTAAACAATCCAAGTGAAAACTGCATGCTCTGTTGGTACAACCCATTGGTTCTCAGTGTGCCAGGGTCCTATGAGAGGATTAATACTGCCAGTCAGTGATGGAAACAAGTTATCAGATTCTTTACTTGAGAAAAAGTACTTATACTACGGTATAAAAACACTCAATTTCAAATAAATGTAATGAATCGACAATGGTACTTAAGTCAACCCATCCATCCAATCCATCCATCTATCCATCCATAAATCTGTCCATTCATCAATTAATAAATAAATAAATCCACCCATCCATCCATCCCTCTATATATCCATCTATCCATCCATAAATCTGTCCATTCATCAATAAATAAATAAAACCATCCATCCATCCATCAAATCAATAAATCCATCCATCCATCCGTCCGTCCGTCCATCCATCCATCCATCCATCAATAAATCCATCCATCCATCCATCAATAAATCCATCCATCCATCCATTCATCCCTCTATATATCCATCCATCCATCCCTCTATATATAACCATCTATCCATCCATAAATCTGTCCATTCATCAATTAATAGATAAAGAAATCAATCCACCCACCCACCCATCCATCCATCCATCAATCCATCCATCCATCCATCCATCTCTATATATCCATCCATCCATCCATATACCCACCATTCCACATTTCATTAGTTCTTACTTTGGAGAGAGACTACAATCACACATCAACATAGTGTTTGATCCAGAATTATTTTGAGGAATAACAGTTTCAACAGTTTGCAGTGCAGTGATATCCTAAAGTAATAATACTGTGTTCCTCACCACATGTCGATGGGTGTCGAGTATTCTGTCGAGCCCAGCAACACGTCGGGGGGGCGATACCAAAGTGTTACCACCTCATTGGAGTAAGTCTTTGTGGGGACAGACTGTGCCCTCGCCAGACCTGGAAAACACCAACACTGTTAGGGTTTCTACCCACTACAACATCGTAATAAAGGAACCCAGTCTCACAAAAAAATGTGTAATAGCTACGTTGGTCGACAGGGCGAAACGTAATATATTCACAAATCACCCTCTCAAGACGTGACATGGATACAATATTTTTTTCCTATTCATTTCTAATGACCAGTGTCCATGTCACGTGATCGCAAACTTTCCTAGCGTGAGAAAAAAAAACATGGGGGACACCCGATTTATTTTTTGTGGAAAATCCTAAATTGTAGGATAGTTGGGCCATTATAATGCTTTTTTATTAGTGTATATTGTACTTTTAAAATCTACGTCCAGTGGATGTGTAGGATCTATAGTTTGATATATATTAGGAAAATGATTTGAGGTCTCACCAGGAGGACGTGTATATACTGTATACTGTATATTCACGTCCTCCTGGTGAGACCTCAAATAATAATAATAATCTTGTTTTTTTCCCCTCACTCTAGGAAAGTTTGCGATCACATGACATGGACACCGGTCATTAGAAATGAAAAGGAAATCATATTGTATCCATGTCACGTCTTGAGAGAGTTATTTGTGAATATACTAAGTTTTGCCCTGTGGACCAACGTAGCTATTACACGTTTTTTTGTGAGACTGGGTTGAATGAAGACACTTAAGTTCAGTCCTCAAGACATCTATCTTTGTAACAAACTGCTTTCAGGTAGAGACCAGGAAGTGGATGCCGGTCTTTTGGAAGTTCTATCCCACTTTCTTCAGCTACTCTAGTAGCCCTGTGATATTCTTTGTACTGAAGTTTAAAACGTTGGGCATTTTTGTAAACATATTCATTACTATAGTATTTTCATAATATTCATATCATTTTGACATTGAAATTCCCTCTTAATGTCAAGTATACTGTGTGACTCAACAGTACACAATTAAGTCTTACAAAGTGGGCTAAAAGTGTACGAGAGCACAAGATTCTTTAAGTGGTCAATTAAACCTCATATAACATAACATACATTGTGTTATAATAACAAATGTTGGAACACTTCCTCAAGGAGTAAGTCAACTGTACAATCTAGGTTACATGTTCATAGTTTACTTATTCTTGCATTTTACTTGCATTTTTGTGGCCCCGTGCACTTTTTCTTAAACTATATTTTCTGTGTTTTCTTTTTATGTCTTTAGGAAACTCTATGCATTACTGTTAGTGGAGCCTTGGACTTTTTTGTTGATCGATTTGTATTGCCAGCAACTACGCTGTAACTATTGTGCATATGACCAAAAAAAGCCCTTTGAGTCTTTGAATCTATCTGCCCATATGCTGTGATAAAACTATTGAACAATAGTGAGGGAGTCCCGGTGGGTTTATCTACCCACATCCAGCACAAAATTCAAGAGAGAAACTCAGAGAGAGGGGCACAGTTGCTAGGTTACAGCAAGTAAGGGTTCTAAAGGAGTCAGGGACCAAAGATTGCCGAGTGGCAGTAACATATATTTAAAAGTCAATCGTGTCGGGAATCAGGCTGTCTTATTCTAAATGTGTTTTTACGACCACATTTGCATCGTTTAATATGTGTGTGTTTTGCATGTGAATCGGCTGTTTTTCCTACCGAAGTCGGCCAGTTTGAGCTCGCCCTTGTCGTTGATGAGCAGGTTCTGAGGCTTCAGGTCTCTGTGGAGGATTTTCCTCTTGTGACAGTAGGACAGACCACGCATCAGCTGGAACATGAATATCTGTACCAGAAATGTTGTATATCATGAGGATTAAAGAGGACATATTTCCACCATATTCAACGTAAATATTGCTATATTTTGTAATGTTATTATAGTTTTCTTAAAGGTCCCCTATTATGCTGTTTTTCATCAATATATTATAGTTCTCAGATATATACAAAACATGTCTCTGAAGTATTTGGCTCCAAATACCAAACAGATCATTGCAGCATCCCATAATCCCCTCTGTTTCAGCCCTGTCTTTAGATGAAAATAACGAGCCACTCCCCACGCCCCTCTGAGAGATATTTGGTTAAAAAGAACACAATAGGCGCTTTCACACCGGAGTACTTTTCTCAGTACAGTTTCGATAGTTCTTGAAATTTTGCGTTCACACCAAAAAAATCCGGAACTAGAATTTAGTTCATGAGAACCTTTTCACCCCCTTTTTAATCCCTGCTAGAGAGCAGGTACTTTCATGGAAGAAAAAGGTTGCTATTTCTGATTGGCTGGGCGGAATGCAAACCACGCCCTAATGCTAGCATTAGCATTATTAGCATTAGCCCAGCGCACCAACGGAGAGAGACTAACTTATGGCAACATGGGAAAAAAACATGGGAGCGGTGGAGATGAGGAGGTGTCGGCGTTCTGGCGATTTACTCGGAAGGCTTCAGTAGAAGCTGCTGGGACTCCCAGCAGCTTCTACTGAAGCCTGTCCCCAACTCCGGGGACTTCCGGCCGGGGACTTCGGGTGGCAGTATACGCCGTGAAGTTGTTTGCGGCCTGCCAGTAAACCCAAAGCAGAAGAAGAAGTGACGTCAGCGGCTTAATTTGCCTAATCCTCCCTCAGGGAATTTATTCCGGTGTGAACGCGATCTGCTCTTTAGTTCATCAGAACTAAAGAGTTCTGATGAACTAAGTACTGGGAACTAATTACGGCAAAGTACTTGGTGTGAAAGCGCCTAATGGTGCTCTAGGAGGAGATTCAGGTGATAAGGTGGGGGGGGGGGGTTTACCTTGGTTGGTGATTGGCTAATGGTTACACAAGCCAAACAATCGTTATGACATCATAAAGTGGCCAAAATCTGATCAGCTCATTTTCAGACAGGTTTTTATATAAATGGATCAGGACAAAAAGAGAGAGAATCTTTGTTCCTGAAACTTTCAGAATCTCTTTACACAGAGGGGACACATGTTGATGTAGAAGAGACATGAACAAGTGGATTTTGCATAATAGGTGACCTTTAAAATAGTTTTTTTATCAGTGTTTTTGTTTTATTTTAATTTGTATGTATGTTTATGTATGCACCATAACACCACGTCAAATGTCTCGTACTGTATGTGTTTACCTACTTGGCAATAAACCTGTTTCTGATTCTGATATTATGCTAGTTTTCCAGTTCATATTTGTATTTGGTGCCTCTACTGTGATATGTTCTTGCTGCTCACCTTGACGTTATGCATGCTCATGAGATTCCCGCAGTTGTCCAGATACTGTTTAAGGTCACTGTCCTGGAAGACACAACAGGCATACTCAAATCTACCCATAGTTCAAATTCAATTTAAGATTCAAGGCTTTTATTGTCATTCCTACATAGCTACAGTGTAGTTATGACAATGAAAATCTTAGGTCACAGGCTCCGCCAACAGTGCAACACAATAAAACAGATAAAATAGTGCAAGTAAATACAAATAAAATAGAATAGAAATAGTGCAAGAAGAGTCTATATACAAGTAATTGGAATATGATATATTAGATAAATAATTTGTGAGTTGCAAACAGATGAAAGTTATGGATGTTCTTTCAAAGGTTCAGGTGTTTTATCAATACTGTGTGAACACCTGCATGCTAAGCGGACGATGTACTCACCAGATACTCAAAGACCAGCGTGAGGCAGCGCTCGGTGTGGATGATGTCGTGCAGCGTGACGATGTTGGCATGTTTCAGGTTCTTCAGTAGAGACACTGCGTGGACAGAAGAAGGAGAGATACTGTCAAAATAACAGTAACAGTGGAAACTACGATAAACAATCTACCTACTATACAGAGTGTTTGAAGGTACATTTACTCAAGTACAGTACTTTATTCAAAAGTATTTGAACTAAATGCACCAATAATCTTCTACTTATAAGGGCATGTACAGGCTTTGGGAGTAACATATTACTTAATCAGGATACATACAAAAGGTAACTATATTCCTTTATTCATGTACCTTTGTTATTCATGTTTTAAATGCCATTTTATAATATGTTTCTTGATGCTCTTAATGTCTTTCATTTTTGTAAAGCACTTTGAATTGCCTTGTGTTGAAAGGTGCTATATAAATAAACTTGCCATGCCTTGCTTTGCTTTACAGTCATGAAAATAAGATGAAATCCTGTTAGTGTTACAATTGCTAATGTTTGGGGATTATTAGCAGGATTACAATGTTGGTAAAAATGTATTTTTTTGCATAGTGACTCTTGAGTATCCTTTATTTTGCAACTTTTACAGCGTACACAAAGTATGCAGTATAGATTTGAGACACATAGGCTTGAGGTAATAGATATCAGAATGATGGTAAATTTAAACAACTCAAATTAAATAATCTCTAAAAGGTGAAATATGTACAGAATAAAAAATAATTAAATAGGCAACACTCTCATAGTTAGTGCAAATAATGTAAAATCCAGATGAAGGATCGACCATGCATTATTAACACAGCTACCTCCTGAGCCAGGGCAATAACCAAGCTCCATTTAAGTGAAAGTGGCAGATTAAAATGTGCTCCTGTCCCACCTTGAGACTAAAATAGAAATATTATCCGCCTGAGGTCATCACCCCTGGACCGGAAAACAAATCAATGTGTGTGTGTGTGTGTGTGTGTTTGTCTGTGTACCCTCTCTGATAGCAGTGCACGGCGCTCCCTCCTCGTGCTCCAGCCGAATCTCCTTCAACGCCACCAGGTTCTCTGTGAGTTTGCTTCTCCCCTTGAACACTGTGGCATATGTCCCCTACACACACACACACACACACACACACACACACACACACACACACACACACACACACACACACACACACACACACACACACACACACACACACACACACACACACACACACTACACACACACACACACACACACACACACACACACACACACACACCCACACACACACACACACACACACACACACACACACACACACACACACACACACACACACACACACACACACACACACACACACACACACACACACACACACACACACACACCACACACACACACACACACACACACACACACACACACACACACACACACACACACACACACACACACACACACACACACACACACACACACACACACACACACACACACACACACACACACACACACACACACACACACACACACACACACAGTAGGTGAGATTCTGGTAATCGAATATTCTAAAAAGCTTTTAATCAAATGTCTTTTTTTTTCTATTAATAGCGACATAATTGCTACATTTATTTGATTGGAATCTGTTTCATCATCCCCAGTACATTAACATAAATTAAAACAGATAATGTATTCCATCGGACTGAATTAGGTTATTAGTTTAAACAGCTGTCATCCATGACTAGCCTCAACAAACTACGTATCAATGTGATTCAAGCTTCTCAATCAGGATTTGATTTAATAAATGCAGTTAATGCATATTTATTTTTGCAGGGATATGATCATTTCTGATTATTACACAACATATCTGAATACTGGATTCTGATTGGTCAATTTGGACATCAGAGCTTGTTAATACTCGCTAACAGACTGTTGCTTAGGAGGATCAAGGGACTATATGTAGTCATATCAATCCGCAGAAAGAAGTCCGGTCAATTTAACATCAGCTGTGGACAACAAACCTTAGTTTTGTTCATCAGAGAACACCCTGGAATATTTTTTATATATATTTGTTGAGAGCACGTAACATTGGATTCATTATAGCTAAACTTTCCCCAGTAAAGAGAAGAAAAAAAGAGCGCAAGAGGAGGAAAGAGGTTAAAAGATAGAGAGCTGGACGCCAGAGAAATCAACAGAAGAAGACAGACAGGAAGTAAACACTAACGGAAACAGCAGAAGAAGACAGACAGGAAGTAAACACTAAAGGGAACAGCAGAAGAAGACAGACAGGAAGTAAACACGAAAGGGAACAGCAGAAGAAGACAGACAGGAAGTAAACACGAAAGGGAACAGCAGAAGAATACAGACAGGAAGTAAACACTAACAGGAACACAGTATGGGCTCTGCAGTGTTTAAAGACTGGTTAATGGGAAAGAAAATGAACAGACTTGGACAGTTACAGAAAACCTCGATCAGTGCTGCCGTCATTTTAAGTTAGGTTTCAGTCGAATGCTTCTTAGCTGAAGCAACAAACCCATTAACCCATTACATCATTTGTATTCAACATTGTGAGTTAAGTCGTATGCTTATAGCAACTATTGCAAGTGAGCTTAAAATGCCAACACTAAAATATTCGGATATTGAGAAATACACATCAGCGGATAAGATACATTTCATAATTGCCACATGTTCAGATCGTTGTCTCTCGCTGCATATAAACGGTGCCTTTGAGAGCCTCAGGTCATGATAATTTACAACAAAAGCATCTCTCTTCGATCCTTCACCACCGCTGTTATCTGCTGCTGAGTCTTGTGACCGGAACTAAGGCGGACGGATTCTGTCATTATTCATTCCTGACTCCTTAGAGGGATGTCAGATAAATGCTGAGGCATTGGATTGTGCTTAACATGCATGTGACACGATTACATAATCAGGATTGAAAAAAAGTAACTTTCTTCCCTTACGGTTACATAAAAGAATGGGGGATTACCATGTTAGGAAACACCAAAGAGCAGATAGTGTTTGTTGTAAAGGATCAGATGTTGTCTCTTCTCTGTGAGCTGTACTGTTCTGTAGGATAATACTTTAAGTGTGAATCTCTACTTCTACTGCCTGAATCTGCTTCATGGTTTCCACTTTCTTTGCTTCATTTGTCCTGTTTTTAATTCAGCAGGTGAACCTATATGTTGATAAAATAGTGTGTGTGATCTTAACTGTGTGTATTAAACTAAAACGGAGCATCTTCTGTCAGCTCAGATTTGATCTCTGCTTTTTTAAACTGTAGTATGTGCTCATGAATTTCATTGTTGGTGTATAGGCTACTGCCTGCATATGCTGAATGAAAGGCAGGTTTTTATCCTATCAATAAAATAATTTTTGATCCTAAATATCTTCTTCTTTTCTAAGGTCACATTGTTCTGTTGTCTTACTTAATACACTTATGTTTAAAGCATCTTAATGCAATTTATTTTCCTCTTGGATTTATTTGCATTGCATTTAATAATTAGGTAGTCCAAAAGTAACAAAAAGGATTTTACTTTTACATTTTTGAAACTAAGAATAGGTTACATTTTTCACATGTAACTAGAAATTGTAACGGATTAGATTGTTAAACTAACCCTCCTAACTCTATTTCTAACTATTGCACACATGGTTATACTGTAGCTTGTACTGTGTTGACATATAAACAAACCTAAGTGTTGTACACATGTTGACAGGATCCAGTCTCCTGAGGGCCTTGACTCACCAAAGTCTTGATAAGTATAATGAACACTGGCAAACAACCTGTGGTCAGCAAACCAGTGACATGCTTAATTTGTGTCTGAAGATGTTCCCTTTAACTTCGAGTTAACATCAACATCCACCGTCTGAAAAATAGTTCTGAAATGAATCTGTGAGTATCGGCAGAGACGTACCTCTCCCAGTTTGCCGAGCTTCACGTACGTCTCCAGTTTCCCGAAGCCTATGTCGGACTGTAGACAAAATGAAGAGGTAGATTAATTGTTGACTGCTTCTGTATCACTGTGGACCATTTAAAAGATAATTTTGCACTCATTACTTCATGTTTTTCTCGTGTTCATTAAGCGCAAATCTTTCTTTAACTCCAGACAGAAAAAACAAGCCTATTACGGTAATGGAGAACTGGGGGAATCATCAGAGAAATGAATGGATTCATTATAATATTAATACAAAAGGACCGAAATAACAACAGGAAGGATAAGAGATAAGAGCAGTAGTAATTTGCTGAGAGTAGGAAATAAGATCTGTAATATGAGCCGGGACTTCCACTGGCTCAAGGGTAATCCGGCAAATGGATGGTCAAACAAAGACCCAACTAATATGGGATGTATAGTTAATGAGATCAGATAAGCACGACAGCAGTCGATATGAGATGATAGACAACCACTGGGATTTTAACACTTTTTAGGCAGGTTATTAGCAGAGGTGGGAAGTAGTGGAGTACAAATACTTAGTTACTGTACTTAAGTAGCTAAATGTTTCTGGTATCAGTACTTTACTCCACTACTTATTTTTCTGACGACTTTTTACTTCTTACATTTTGAACCCAAATACCTGTACTTTCTACTTCTTACATTTTCCAAACAGGCTGGTTCCTTTAGTTTGAATGTGTGTTTGGTGGCGTGATCATTATTATTTAGAGTCATTGCGTGCCTATTGATTTGAACACGATCCGTGTATCCATCATTTCCTGGTCTTCTCTAAAGAAGAGGGACCAATGAAAACGTTGTCATGTTGCCGTTGTTCAGCATGGAAACATTCATTAGCTAACAATGACATTATTGTTCTATTAATATAAAGGGAGGTCAGGTACTCTTTAAAACAGCTGCTAGTTATGGGTACTTTTTACTTAAGTACATTTCAAAGCCCTCTTTACTTTTACTTGAGTAAAGAAGTTTAGTCAGTACTTCTACTTTTACCAGAGTATTTTTAATCACGAGTATCTGTACTTCTACTTGAGTAAAGGATGTGTGTACTTTTGCCATCTCTGGTTATTAGGTCTATATGATAAAGATATTAAAGAAAGATATTAATATAAAGCACTTACCAGTGAGGCGCGTCGGGACATGCGGCTCAGAGGTTTGCAGAGCGGAGAGTTCTCGCTCTCCAGCTGCAGCTTCTTCAGAAACTCTGGAGGCAGACGGATGTCCATCGGCAGAGACATGCGCTTACTGACGTCCTGCAGGAATAAAGGTGTGGAGAACGTTGAAAGACTGTATATCAGCAGTACACACCTTAATATCATTCATTCATGTGCCTAAAACTGACTGAATTCAACCTCATATATGGCCAAGTGCTATCATAAGTTAGTTTGCTGACCTTTAAAAATCAGATTAAATCAAATAGATTTTTATTTATGATTAGATTTTACTTATCTATTTCATTTTAAATGTTGCTTATATCACATCAAATCAAATGGTATTTATATAACCAAATATCAGAAGACACATTTGTCTTAGGGGACTTTGCACAGATCGACAAACATTAATGACAATATAAATGTTTAAAAAGAAAAAAAAGAAAGACAATCTAATAGACAAAGGGGTAATGTGAATGTATAATACTATAATAAAACAATTACAATAAAGGACCCAGGAGGATGTTTAAGACAAGCCTGAGCCAGCTCTAAATATACATTTTATTAAAAAGAAGAGTCTAAGGCATACTCTTATATGTGTAAAGGGTTTCTTCTTGAACACAAAACGTACTCATTAACCATGTACACGTTCATTCATAAAGGTTTCATACCTTATGAAATGTGTTTAAGTTATAACTGACAGTGTTATTCACTTTTAATACATTATATTATACAACAATCCAGTAAACCCAAAGCAGAAGAAGAAGAAGTGACGTCAGCGGCTTCATTTGCCTAATCCTCTCTCAGGAACTTATTCCGGTGTGAACGCGATCTGAACTTAGTTCATCAGAACTAAGTACGGCAAAGTATCTTGTGTCGCTTTGGCTACGAAACTAATGTAGGTTGAAGTTAAAGTTTAGTCAAGCTTTTTTGAAGCCAAACATTTATGTCAAAGTGTTTATTATCCCTATTGCAAAGCCAACATTGCTACGGCCAGTTAGGGTTAGGATTAGGGTTAGCTAAAAAGTACACTAAAAGATGTTTCTGAAAACATTTCAGCTTAGAAATTGGCATTTGATTGATATTTTGAGTGGAGTTCACTTATCTTTGATACAGATTAAGGCTGTGGCTTTGTTGCTCAATGTTTACCAAAGATGCAATTCTGCTTTCCTACAAGAAGCGATTATTTAATTCCACTCTTTGATAGTATTGAATGAATTTGACTGGAAACAAATATCCCCCGATGTTAATTCCAAGCATTTATGTCCATGCCCTTCCACCATAAGGAGCGAGAGACACTTTAATTTAGCCGGCATTTAATGGCACTTTCTCTCCAAATGAGTATTGAGCGCATGTTTGCTTTGCTCAACTTATGATTCGCCAGACTCCAAACAAATATGGATTTTTTTTAGAAACGGAGTAGATCAATAAAGGGCTTTGACATTCTCTCTTGTTAATCCATCAAATGTGGGCTATTACTTTTGATTGGATGGACTTTAGGTTGAAGGTGAAGGAGCTTTGCTAAGAAGAGGCTAAACAGTGAAAGGATAAATCACCTGCATTGCAAAAATGTTAAATCTTGCCAAGTATGTTTGTCTAATTTCTAGTCAGAATATGTCGTTACACTTGATATAAGACCTACTAACTTAAGTCTTTTGTTTAGCCAAGGCATCTTTTTGAATCAAAGTATCTTAAAAACATCTTATTTTATATGAAAATCACCATCAGAAAACAGAAAACGTCTAAGCATTTCTGTCTTTTTTTTGTAACAAATTCCCTAATTCTTGTCAAATAGTTCAAATTCAGCTAAATACCAGGGGCCTCATTTATAAAGGGATATACGCTCAAAAAATGGCGTACGCCAGTTTCTACGCAATGTTTGCGATTTATAAAATACTAACTTGACGGGAAAATGTGCTGTCCTCCACGCAAACTCTAACCCATGCGTACGCACTAAGCACACAAACGGGAGAGACGAGAAACTGCGACACCGTTGGCAGAAGGAAGAATGGAGAGAAATATGTGGAAATAATACCATAAATAAAATGTTACCTCTCATTTATCAAATATGAAGAATTCATTTTCAAACATTGATTAAAGCCAATCATAAAATGATTAAACAAACGCCTGTTTGAGACTCCTCAGTGCACACAAAAACATAACTTGGAGAAATAAATAAATACGGATGCTATTTAAAACCACCTCGAATATGTTGTGTTAATGTTATGAAATGTTTTCTCATAAATGATGCGGTAAACAGGAGGACAGAATTACGTCTAAACTGACGCCGTTTTGCATTTATATAGGTTGTAGATACGAGCATGGTTTTATATACTATCACGTTTAATCGTGTTTTATGCCGTTTGCCAAGACTTGATAAGTCGCTCGTAAAACACAGGAGGTATGGAAACTAAGAACACCATATGTGGTAAATTGTACAGCTAATATAACACAATCCATTAGTTGTATTTCCTTTAACTGGTGGATTATGGATATATAGTTGCTGATCGACAGCTGGAACACAAACCACCAAATACAACAAAAATAATTCAGATCCAGTCGTCATGACTCCACTCCGGAGGGATTCCCCGATCATTTCTTACAGTTTCTCATCAAGGGGGTCTCTCCTGTCCCCGGGACAAACACACTGCCTGAGGAAGGTTATGTGTATTTGTTTTGTCATTAACTTTTTTCGGACCACTTATTTATTTATTTTGGTGATGATCCGACCTCCATGCTGCTACTCTGGTTCAAACTGCATCCACCAAACAATATGATTTATCTCGACCTCCCCACAATAACCAAAATCTGACACGGTGTGAGATGTCTTTTTTAGCTGTTCTATCGTAATTTCCTGCGATCTTCTTCATGCAGTCAGTCAAAAATGAATGAATGAATGGGCGTTTCTTTGACTATGTATAGGCAAATATGGGCGTTACGAGTCGATTGTGATTTATCAAGGGAAACAGGCGTAGGGAGTGCTGTACGCACTTCCCTCGCCGGTACGCAATGTTTTGTGAATCGGAAAATGGCGGAAAATTTATGTACCTATTTTTGTGCTTTGTACTACGTAAGCAACCTTCCTACGTCAATCCTACGCAAGGTGTTATAAATGAGGCCCCAGATCTCAATATACCATCTTTACTTCAAGAAATCTTACCAAGCCATTTTTTACTTGTTCTATTGACAGATTTGTTCACTTATTAAAAGCGAAAACACCTTGTTTTTATTCTATATTTCCTTGTTTTTGGAGCAGCATTGTTTCCAGTGTGTGTAGTGCAACGTGGACTTAAAATGTTAAAAAGTAATTCATTAATAAAGGGCACTTCCACTACAGTAATAGGTCTGGACTTGATCAATGTTGCTCTGAGTTCTCTGAATCGTGTTCCAGGAAGATAAGTGGTTGAACTGAGGAAAGGTCATCCTGATGAATCATCAAGATGCCATTTTAACGGACGTTATTCACCAGCACATGGATTTTTCACATCCTGGCAACCATTCATTTGGCCTTCTTCATGGATTATCATTAGTGACCACTTGTAAACCACTTTCCTGTGTGTTATCAAAATTAAGATATCTAGAGGGGAGTATTGGATTACATGTAACGGTTTTATGTAATCAGGATACAAATAAGTAACTGTATTCCCTTTTAACTAATCAGATTACTGTTATACTTCAAGAAATTGGGGACTATTAGCAGGCTTAAAATGTTAGTAAAACCTAAAAAGATCAGTGTTTGTTGTAAAGCATCAGATGTTATCTCTTCTCTGTAAGCTGTACTGTTCTGTAGGATAATACTTTAAGTGTGAATCTCTACTTCTACTGCCTGAATCTGCTTCATGGTTTTCACTTTCTTTGCTTCATTTGTTCTGTTCTGTTCAGCAGGTGAACCTATATGTTCATGAAATAGTGTGTGTGAGCTTAACTGTGTGTATTAAACTAAAACGGAGCATTTTCTGTCAGCTCAGATTTTATTTCTGCTTTTTTAAACTGTAGTATGTGCTCATGTGTTTCATTGTTGGTGTAAAGGCTACTGCCTGAATATGCTTCATGAAAGGCAGGTAACTAGACATTTTAACATATTTCATTTTTAAAGAAACCCTCCCAACCCTGGCGTTCAGTCGTCTTACTGTCTTAATATTATTTCTGTCTTTCGCATCACCTTCCTGAGCATTCACTTCCCTCTGGCTGCTACGAGTTGTTAGAGACAGACTCGAAGTGATTCACACTCACTCCAAAGGGACTATTTCTGAAAAGGTGGAAGTGTGAACTCTCTCACATTTCCAATAAAACGTCTAGTGCTCTGGGGATGGATAAAACTATCTGAGATGACTCATATCATTGAGCTGGCGGGGGTGGAAATGACGAAATTAGTCTGGGGGAACAGGAGAATAAACTCCACTTTATACAGTATATCCATGTCAGACTCCGTTTTAATGCTTTTAATGTGAACGTGAACCTTGACAGTTTGCTATCAGTGCCCAATCTGCATCGCATACATTAAGCTTGGCACCATATGACTAAAGCATGACCTGAAACCAAAGGGAATATTTAGCCCATTAACCCCTCACTGTCTCCATGCTTTAATGTTCAAACATCTCTTTATTTGTCTCATACTGCCTGTGCTGCAGCTCCTCTCTTCACCCTCTGTCTGAAACCAGAGTTGCTCTGATTGGTTAGCTGGCCGGCTCTGTTGTGATTGGTCAACCGCTTAGATATGTCCCGCCCCTTAGCCACGTACAATGTGTTGGAGCGCTATATAAACTATATAACATACTACAGGGATTACATAATCCTGTTACATGTAATCCGTTACCCCCCCCAAATCTGATTCTCATATTTCCCCGTGTCCTCCTTTAGACGCTTCTCACCTCCATGGAGAAGCGTCTCTGCTGGGCCTTGCTGTGAAAGACGAGATGTGAAGGAGACTCAGTGCCTGGCGTTATTGGTTCGGGACTCGAAGGACTGGCATCATGAGACGGAGGACCCAGTCTGTCCTGAGTGAGGCCTGAAGGAGGAGAAACATAATCAGTCAACATCTGCAGATTGGAGACAAAGGGAACAACAATGGTGTGTAATGAAGCATTTGAGGAGTATTGCAGTGATTTTATGGCACATCACTGGTTTGATTTCAGGCTCTTATCAACCTTATCAATGGTATCACTGCCTGGTATGGTAACTTGATAGTGCAGTCAAACACCCATCTCTCCAAAACATATACGAGCAGTCCATTATCAGACAGGCAAAAAAAAATGGTGTCTGATCCCACCCACATACTCCACCCAGAATTCCAGCTCTTACCTTCTGGTAGAAGATTCAGGGTTCCCAAGAGCAGGCTGAACCGCTATAAGCACTCATTCCTACCTATGTCCATTAAGCTTCTTAACACTCACATGAAATGAAATGTAGTCAAATGTACTTTTTAAATGTTGACCATGAGGGTTGTGCAATAGGTCGCCATTGTCAGTATGTGCGTCTGTGTATTGTGTTTGTTGAAACGGTGTATGACTGATGATATGTGTATGTCTCTTAATGTCTACTATGTTTGTATATGTACATGTATGCGGAACTGCAGGACGGAGTCCAGAACAAATGTCCTTACGGGGACAATAAAGTATATCGTATCGTATCGTAACCTTCAATAATATCTGTCGTTGTTCTCTGGGTAAAAGGTTTCGCTGTTTCTAAATTACTTTGAATATAAGCAAGGTTTATAGATCTGCGGTAAGGGGTTAGCCTATTGGGCAGGTATAGACCATTTTGTCCCCTCGACCACCAATGAAAATGTGTCTGGAGCCACAAAACACATTCAATCGAAGCTTGTGCATTTTTATATATAGCTTTACAAACAAGAATTTGAAATGTTCCAAACTTATACACCCACAGTAAAGACATGTTGTGTTATTTTCTATGATACTTTAACTTGTAATAACATTAGATAAAAAGTAGCTCACTTTTAAAATAAAACGTATAGAGGCAGTCTAATAACTTTACAAGAACTTCCACTTATTATGCTTTTTTGGGGTTTTCCTTTACGTTAGTGTGTTATATAGGTTTTTGTGCATGTAAATGGTCAGAGGATAAAATCTCTGTGTTCCCTGCATTGAGGGTTTCTCTCCCATTGGACTCCTTTGTTCATTTATATAGTGACATCACTACGTTACACTCACGCTTCTATTGGCTAGCGCTCCAACACATTGTACGTGATAGGCTAAGGGGGCGGGACATCTCTAAGCGGTTGTCCAATTACAACAGAGCCGGTCAGCTAACCAATCAGAGCAGACTGGGCTCTGGTTTCAGACAGAGGGAGACTATAGGAGAACTGTGGCTGGTTAGCTTTGACTGCATGTGTCTACTAAACACTGTATGAGATTATTGATTGCTGAAGTGGACTCTCAGATTCTTCATTTCAGAGAGTAGGATCATCAAGACGACCAGGAGATTAAAGTTCAGGCAGCTGGAGCGAACGTGTCAGACAATTAAAGTGTGAAGAGCTGTGTGTGGGAAGAATGGACTTTCATCATACACCATCTTCTCATGTGTTTGATGCTTCTTTTAAATGAAACAGCTTGAGCTCCGTTTTAAATGGCGAGGGTTGGACCCCCGCAGCACAGGTATAGGAAGTGTGGGGTTTGAAGTGTCTTCATTTTAGAGCAAGACTGAGGTTATCTTTTTTGGACCCCAACCTCTTGCCTCCCAGGTTGATATTCTGGGATCCCTCAAAAATAATATCCTCCCCTCTGTCACGAACCTTGGAGTGACCTTCAATAGCGCTTTTAAATTCGATAAGCAGGTCAGCAGCGTAGTCAAAACCTGCTTTTTTTAAATACGACTATTGGCCAAGACCAAGTCGTTTTTATCTTTTAAAGACCTGGAAAGGGTTATCAACGCCTTTGTTACCTCGAGGTTGGACTACTGCAACGCTCTGTACGTGGGTATGGACCAGGCGTCAATTAAACGCCTGCAGCTAGTTCAGAACGCAGCTGCACGTCTTCTGACTGGCCACAAAAAGCGTGACCACATCACCCCAATTCTGGCCTCACTGCACTGGCTTCCAATTCGGTTCAGAATTGATTTTAAAATCCTTTTATTTGTTTTTAAAGCACTAAATGGGCTGGCTCCGGCCTATATAGCTGAACTGCTCCAGCGCTACACCCCAGCCAGAGCTTTAAGGTCTGCTGACCAGCTGCTGCTGGTAGTGCCCAAGACCAGGCTCAAAACCCGAGGGCACCGAGCCTTCGCAGCAGCTGGCCCTAGGCTCTGGAACACTCTGCCCCTCCATGTGAGGTCGGCCCAGACCCTAGGGGTTTTTAAATCTACTCTTAAAACACACTTCTTCTCCCTGGCCTTTTAGTCAGAGCGGAGCACGACTCCTGACTTTTCCCTGTGTTTTTTTAATTTATTTTTTTACATATCTGTTGTAATTTATTGTCTTTTATTGTGATTGTAGTAATGTGTTTTTATGATTGTAGTATTTATTTCATGTACAGCACTTTGGCCCGACCAAAAATCGCATACAGGGGTGAAAAAAAGAAAAAGCGCTCTAAGTCCTTGTTTCCATGGGGATAGTCAAAGGGAGCAAGTCTCGGTGTTAACGAGGAAGTCTCATTCATTGCTTAATGCCACAACACACACACATCTATTCTAACAGTTCTTTTGATGCCTGGATGAGTTGAACAGGTATATATGTGTGTGTGTGTGTGTGTGTGTGTGTGTGTGTGTGTGTGCAGAGAGACTTCCTGCGAGCCACTTTGTGTCAGATTGATTGGCAGTTTAAATGAGCGGCAGGATGCAATAACAACCTCTTTGCTAGTCATTTGAATATCACAGCTACAGCGCTCCTTTGATCTCCCGTGGCTAATTAGGGTCAATACAGGCGACGAGGACACACACACACACACACACACACACACACACACACACACACACACACACACACACACACACACACACACACACACACACACACACACACACCTACACACACACACACACACACACACACACACACACACACACACACACACACTACACACACACACACACACACACACACACACACACACACACACCACACACACACACACACACACACACACACACACACACACACACACACACACACACACACACACACACACACACACACACACACACACACACACACACACACACACACATCACACACACACACACACACACACACACACACACACACACACACACACACACACACACACCACACACACACACACACACACACACACACACACACCACACACACACACACACACACACACACACACACACACACACACACACACACACACACACACACACACACACACACACACACAGTGCCTGATGGCTGAGATATGGATGGATGCCTGCTTGACATTTTAGGGAAAAACACAATCCAATATGTTACGCCACATGATGCTTTTGTTGCGTTTCTATTCCATTCATTGCCAAGTCTGTGGTTACAGTGGAGAGGAAACAGAGGCAGAGAGGAAAGAAAATAATTGTGTGGTGTTGGCTTTTACAAATACTGGCAAAATTAACCCAATTGCACACACAAACCTCAATGAAAAATGCGTAACAAGAATAGAAGCCTAAATGTTAAAGAGTGGTGCAGTGATGACGTATTTTATACCCGATAGTTAGCATAGCAAGGTTTCCATCGACCAATGGGATTTCCCCATTGGATTTCAGTATAATACAGAAATGAGTTTTGTGGCAAACCCACGTTTATGTGATATGATGATAAGTTATGTTCAGCAGGATAATCTCCACATATTGACACCACTTTCTGTGTGATTTTCCAAAAACGTAAATGCAATCGGTAGAAGTAAAGAGCTAACGTAATCCAATAAACCAACAACATAACGGTTACATGGCTGACCATCAACAACGCTAAGCTAAAGGTGGCTAATGTTCGGCATGATGATGTTTAGAAGTCTCAACAAATTTGAAAATCTTTCAAGCTTGTGCTAACCACAGACCTTATTTCAGTTGTCTTGCCAAAAACAATGTCAAAAACCCATTGACTTTGCAACGAGGGAACAGGAAGTGGTAAAATGCTGACTCGTTTCCTGGTTTTAGGACTCATTACTGCACCACTCAACCGTGAGGCTATGTCAAGAGCATGCTGCTGGTTAATACCATCAACATTGCAGTTTTTTTGCAATCTAAAAACAGATCTAAATTGGATTTTGAATTGGCACGAAAAATGACTTAAAATGCATGCTTATGTTTAACTGTGTCTGCTCGATGTGTAGTTAGGCCTCTGTTTGATAAAGTATGGACCATAACCGCTTTATAAGGTAATTGTACGTCAATTTTGTGTTTTCTTTTGTAACTTGGCAAGTAATGCAAGTCAAAAATAAAACTCTGCTGAGGAGCTTTAACTGAGGCAGGGATAAAACAATATTGTGGTTGTTAGATGACAAATTAGATTAATGGGAATGGCAGCATATGGAGCTTTTCCTGTAAACCAACTGCCAGTGTGTTTTGGACCAAAGCCAGTTAACATAACCAAGATAAGAACATCTCACATGCTTTGCTATAAAAGCTTTGTGACTTAATGTACAACTGTGTGTCAGAGGGCTTCAGGATTTAAAGGCAAGATGGTGTTGAACTGTGATAAATAAACTCATGATAGCGCTGAAGTGTCAAAGTGTCTCATGTGATTACTCTAGTAGCAAAGCTTAGCAGTTTATTTATTCCACTAATACATAATGAGTGAACAAGGGGATTTTAATGTGAAATATAAGTGGTTAGTAAGGCAGTAATTCCAGGCTTCCCCCTAAGACAAACACTCATAAAAACACACACTTTGTTGCTGTATCTCATGTGTGTATTGTGTGTATTTGAAGCCTTAGGGGATGCTAATTAGTTCATCGCGCTCACTGATCTGAGACTGATTCACTTTTTGTCTGTTCGTCAATTTGAGGCAGCTGCTCTTGTTTTTTATTTAATGAAATGAAATGAAAGGATCTAATTATCTGATAAGATGAAGAAAAGTTAAATTCACAACAAATGAGCTGTCTATTTAATACGATTTGAATGCACAGTTATGCATGTGTACAACGTTTCCTTATCTCATGGTGATCATTTTTAGTGGGTATTATGGCATTTACTCATGTACTGTATTTAAGTACAATGATGAGGTACTTTTTCATGTCACTTTCTACTTCTACTCCACTCCAGGATAATAAATGTACACATTAACAAGCTAGCTTTTCCAGGACCATTTTATCCAGGCATGTTGTGATTATATCTTTGCAAAAATGTCCGATGATCTCTAAACAGCCATGGTTGTTTTGTGCATAACGTGGTGAGAGCATGACATAATCCGTCACATGGGGTGGAGGAGAGGTTGATAGAAGGACAAATGAACAAGAAAGGCTTAGAGAGGAGTGTAAACATCATCAGTCTCTCTTTGAGCGTCCTACAGTCAGTTGTTTATCTCCCTTTCTTCATCATCGTCCTCTATTCCTGTCCGTCTGTCTTGTTCCCTCTTCTCTGACCTTCAGCAGCAGACAGTGAGGCAGACAGATGGACTCGGGGGGGTTTACAATTACAAATCCAGCTGCTTCTCTCTGTCAGGCAGCCCATTAGCAGCATCACTTTACAACTCTATATTCTCAAACTCTTTATTCACAGGAGGTAGAGGCTTCCATTGACTCGAGTGTTTATAATCTGATGAAAACACTACATTTTTGTCTTAAAGAGGACATATTTTGCTCATTTCCAGGTTCATATTAGTATTTTGTGCATCTACAGCAGGGGTGTCAAACTCAAATACACAGTGTGCCAAAATAAAAAAATGGGTACTAGTCGAGGGCCGGACTGGTTCAATGTTTATTGCAAAACTTATTGAAATGAACTTATTGCACATATTAAACCTGGAACTAACAAAGCTTAAATTATTGCCTATAAAGTATTTCAGTTGCATTCATTTCTTATGGCTCTATCTGCAGCTTTTCCGGAGTCATTTCTTATGATTACATTTCTCCACAGGCCAACAACAGCTTCAACAAAACAATTTCCCTCAAAGAAAAAACCAAACATGCCCTGTTGTCGCAAGAAAGAAAGTGCAAAAGGAAACATCCATGTAAACTCAGTGTGCTGCTCTGTGATGCTAGTTCAAGCCAGATACTTGGCATCTCATCTTGGGTGCAAGTTCATCAATGTTTGGGCTCAGGCTCTGAGCTGAGGAGACCCTCAGGATTGAGTGAAGGTGTGCGTGCAGTATACCGGCGGGCCAGATCTAATAGTAGTTAAAAATTATCCTGCGGGCCGAAATGAAATCCACCAAGGGCCTGATTTGGCCCCCGGGCCTTGAGTTTGACACATGTGATCTACAGTGACATGTTTCCATGCTTTAATGTGGATGTTAGCCTTTGTAGACCATTTGCAATCACAAGAACCTATAACACACTCTTTCCACCCTCTCAGATTATAATCTTGTGTTCTTTACTAGTCACAACATTTCTTATGGCATCAAAGAGGAAGACATTACATTTAACTTAAAGTGGACCTATCATGCTATATTTGAAACATATATTTTAGGGCCATACCTATATAAAACATGTCTGTGAAGTTTTTTTTTTCAAAATACCAAACAGATCATGCATTTTAGCCATGCCTCATTTCGCTCTATTTGCTCTTTTCCAGCCCTGTTTTTGCATGAGCTGATTCTGCTTTTGTGGCAGACTACAGCGCCACTTACAGGCCTGGCATATGTACTACAGCGTCTCCAGCGCTTTTGAGCGGTCTCTCATTCCCCTGATAGGTGGAGAGTTGCCCATATAGGGAGGACCCCTTTTCTGACGTCAGAAAAATTCAAATAATAATCAGCTCCGTTGCAGCCCCGTTTTTTTAGAGATTTGGATATGGAGGAAAATAGAGAGGGTTGTGTTTTCTGACACTTGGTGAGTTCCCTGACACACCGGGGACACATATTCATGTATACAAGACGTACAAAAGTGCATTTTGCATGATAGGTCCCCTTTAAATTAACCACAACACATTCATACATTTCTATGTCTACAGGCAAGGGAAAACCCCCACACAGTATGATCTTTAATATACCTACAGTGACCTTTCATCTCACATGATGCTCTACTCTCCTCCTAGCAATTTGTTCTTTGCAATAAATATAAATCCAAGCTTTATTTCCCGACTTCAAATCCATACACATGATTGCAAAGTGTAGAATAGAAGTGTTAACCATCCTGGTGCACATGTATTCACTCACTTTGTTATTCCATCGCTTTGTGGTGTCTTCACGGTAATACATTATAAAGCACTTGAAAACCTAATTCTGGATGCATTCAGTTCCTTTGCATTATCTACCCCTACTCATCCAGCCATAACCCGAATTTCCCTTTGAAGCGTGCTTATCTGCGTGGCTAAGCTTCAGTTGAGGTACAATTCATAGCCTCAAATACCCTGGTTAATCTGAGAGGGTCTGCCACAGATACAGAAGAAACGAAGGCTTGTGTATTTGGTATTAAGAACCTGAATGAGATTGTGGTTTATTATTAGACACGAGCTGTTCATTGGCACAAGGAAGAAGAGCATTAAGGACTGTGCTTTATTCACATATGGTTTACTACATCGGATAATCGGAGCGTATAGGACATTTATCGAAGGGTATATTTTGGGATATATTTGTTTGTTTATTTGCCTCAATATCAGCAGTATTACTGAGATGGATTTTCATGAAATGTGTGGAAGGGATGGACCAAGGAAGAACCCATTAAATCTGGATCCAATTTTAAATGGCAGATACACACATCTTGTGATTGCTCATTATTCTGAAACCAGATTGAGTTGGAAACGCCAAAATACAAATAGCAATTTTTGGGGAAAATACACACTTTATATTTGGCTTTCTACTGTGGGGAAGGCATGACACCCCAGAGTACTCTTTGCCTTCGTTAGTTGGTTACGTTTGGGAATGAGGACTAAGAAAGCCAATCAGAGGCAGAGAAGCCTTTCCTGTCATTTTGAATAATAATTAGCCATTTTAGGATTTTATTTCAGTTTAATTCATTTTACTTTTAGAGCAGGGGGGCTTCTCAACAGTGGGTGTTTTTTTTAGATAACAGATTTTCGGACAAATGTGAATCAGTCCTATTAAACATTTGTTTTCAATGTTTCGTACACATGGGAAACTCAACACAGCAGAATTTAAAAACTTTAACATCAATCTGGAAAATATATCTTTTGATTTTGAATATATTAGGTGAGGGAGATGGGGGTTTCTTACCCTGAGTGTGCTGTATGTTGAGCTCGTTGATCTGCTCGGTGAACTCGTTCTCCTCGATGGTTTCAGTGCGAGGAACAGAAAGAGAGAAACGCCTCTTAAAGTTCTTCATCTTGTTCATGGTGCTGAGGAACAGACTCTGAGAGAAGAAAGAGACGAAGAGAAAGCAAGAAATCACCATAAGATATACAAATAAACTTTAATGCATTCAGTACATGCATCAACACAGTCTTTCCATTGCTAGGGTTAGGGTTAGGGTTAGGGTTAAGGGTTAGGGTTATTTTGATTTTTGATTTGATTAGATTTATTTCGAATGTGTAAAACAATAACAAAAAAATGTAACATTATACAATACAAAATTAAGCAGTGTCCAATTGATATACAAAAATATTACTGATTCTAAATTATGAATAAACAAATAATCTACTTAATTACACATCCGAAAAAGGGGTGGGAAGAAGTTTACACTTATTTAATCCGCCCCTTCTCCCAAAAACTAAATTACTCACATATATATACTTTTTCTTAAAGAAATACATTTGTTATTAAAAAACTAAACAAAAACATAAAACAACACATACATAAACAGATAAATAAACAAACAAATAAGCAGATAAATAAACAAACAAACACATACATAACAGAGGTAAATGATATTCAAGAAAAGATAAAATAACGTTTATGATTAAACGGCGTTATGTGCCCATACAACCAAACTGCATCCTCCATTATGTTTCAACGGAACATATTCACTTCCTTATGATTTGAAGATAGTTTTAATATATGTTGTGTAAAACCACGACATACACAATACAGACAGAAACAAGGACTTTCTGAATGCAACACACTTTGTTTTTGACATTTCCAATATCCACAGAACATCTTGTACTGTAATAGTAGAAGGAACTAAATTGTAAACACTCCGCGGTACACGGCCTATGACACGAGATGCGTAGCTTGCAGCGAAGAAGGATCTTTATGAGCAGCTTGACCGAAGCCAGTCTCCTGCATCATCTGATAATGAGGCAGGAAACAGCAGGAAAGCAGCTGATCAATATACCCTCTCTCTCCGTGGGTTACACAACAACAAACAGCCTTTTTTCAGAGGTTTTTCTCCTTGTTTTTTCTCCGCTCGTCTTGTTGTTCTCTTCAATTCTCTCTGTGTCTGTTTGCTTTAGAGATCGGTGTCATGGGGTCTTCATGATCCCTTCACTGACACTGATTTGTGCTTGTGTCTCTGTTTCTGCTCATTATTGGAAAACATGTGTGCGGGGGGGTCAATTATAGCAAGTCTCTACATTCCCTACTGTTATTTTTAGGCCTCTATAAGCTGTCAGGATATAACAATGTCTGAGCAAGCGTGGCATTGTTGTCGGATCCTCTTTCCTGCTACAGCATACCATACACACATGCAATAAGCACAAAAACATGCACAAAAATGATCAGAAACCATATTCAAAATACCCAAAGTTGTCCACCACGGGTCTAAGGACAGAGTGTTACGTATAGTTGTACGTACGGCGAATTGTAACTTGTGATATTGGGCCATTAATACAATTTGACATTGATTAATCTGCAAAAGCGCTTTGGTGCATTAAAAGCAAAGTGAGAATTATCCATTACAACTTTCTTTGTATATGCAATAGCAATGCATGCTATAATAGATACTACAACAGGGTAGAGTAATGGGATTTTAATATACAGCTCATGGTTTTACCAATAAAAGTCTTGAATGAGACTAGCATGCACATGGGATGTAAAGCAAACCAATATAAAGGTCAGTTTATTGGTGCTTTTTAGAAATGTAGTGTACAAACAATGGATAGACTTTAAATCATGGCATCTTGTACAAATAAAATATATGAATGGCCAAATGTAAAGTTAAATCATCACAGTACCAGACAACATGTAAATAAAGGGATAACTCATTGGTTAAAAATCATATTTCATCAACCACATTTTACACTGTTTTAAGAAAGGAGGCAGTAGTTTTAGCCAAGATGACGGTATACTGTATATATATTTTTGCCACCAATGAAAGTATGTAAAAAGCAAGTAGGCCTTTCTCTTACAATGATAAAATACAATAGCCGCTTTCACACCGCAGTCATTTTCCCACAAAGGTTCATGAGAACTCTTTTAGTTCTCATGAACTAAGTACAGATCGCGTTCACACCGGAATAAGTTCCTGGGGGAGGATTAGGCAAATGAAGCCGCTGACGTCACTTCGTTTTCTTCTGCTTTGGGTTTACTGGCAGGCCGCAAACCACTTCACGGCGTATACTGCCACCCGAAGTCCCCGGGCGGAAGTCCCCGGAGTTGGGGACTGGCTTCAGTAGAAGCTGCTGGGACTCCCAGCAGCTTCTACTGAAGCCTTCCGAGTAAATCGCCAGAACGCCGACACCTCCTCATCTCCACCGCTCCCATGTTTTCTTTTGTGTTGCCATAAGTTAGTCTCTCTGCGTTTGTGCGCTGGGCTAATGCTAATGCTAATAATGCTAATGCGAGGATAATACAATGGCGGCTTCACAAAACGTTTTGGGAGTTTTACGGGGCGTGGTTTGCAATCCGCCCAGCCAATCAGAAATAGGCACCTTTTTCTCCCACGAAAGTACCTGCTCTCTAGCAGGGACGGAAAACTGACGGAAAAGGGGGTAAAAAAAGTTCTCATGAACTAATTTGAGTTTCGGATTTCTTTGGTGTGAACGCAACATTTCGGAACTATATCGGAACTAAAGTGGGAAAAGTACTGCGGTGTGAAAGCGCCTAATGGGTCTTATCGTAAGTCAATGATAAAAGTAGCATATATTTCTAGATGAAACCCCTACCCAGTATTATCTTAAATGTTTACAATCCCCAAAAATGGGTGTGTGATATCCAGCCTGCGTACTTCCCTTCACTACAAGCCTTAACAATCTTAAATGAGTCTTTTCACCGCCCACGCCCTAAGCCCAGAGTCTTTATTTACACTCATCCTCAAGGATACACAATACAAATTGGTAAGAAAAACTAAATGTTATCCATTTTGATTGTTTACAAGAAAACCGACTTCCCAAAGTGAACCTTGTGCTAAAGTGCTATTTTATTACGAAATCCTTTTATGTTTTGTCTCAAACAAAGGTGGTTTAAGTAAAACAAGTGAAAGGATTGTGATTCGTGAAGATGGCACCATATTAAAGATTCACTCTTATTTGTAGAGGCGTAAGCTACATAAAGGTGTGAGATATTCTCAAAGGCCTGGGAGTAAAAGAACAAAGACAGAGGAGTGTGGGTGGCAGCCAGAAATTGAACCGCGAGTGAAGGAAGCAGCTAAAAAAAGAGACGGTGGGAGCAAATAATCCTCAGATCAGTGGAGAGAAAAGGAGAAGCTTTTAGAAATCGATTAAATTCAGCTCATGAGACTCAATGGAAAATATCCTCTCTGTTATGGCGCATTTCCACTACAGCGCGGAGCTTGCTTTAAGCGTGCCGAGCCGTGCGGGGCCCGTTTTTGGTTGCGTTTCCACTTAGCGTAGTACCGGCTAGCGGGTACCATTTCACAGTTTTTCTGGCCCCATAAAATCGAGGTTCTTTCCGGGCCAACAACCGGGCTGAGTATGCTAAACTAGAGAGAGAATCGCTGGCAAGGGGGCTACAACTACAACAAGATGAACATATTTGACCGTGATTTAATTGTAATGCACGTTTCAAAATGATGCCGAAGTAACAACATACTGATACCGGTTAGTAAAAACCATGAATTAATGCTTTGACAAGTCTGCAGACAGACGGCAGGCGAAAAACCTTTTAAAATGCGTGTTGTCTAAATGGAGATCGGCTAAGCTAACGCAGTATATGCTCCAACTGTCCACACTCACAACAACGGCCTATACAGACATAAATAAACCAGCGACTGTATTCGCCATGACACAGGCAGTCTGTGGTTTGTACTTGTTTAACTTTTGTCTAGTTTCTGAACAGATATGAGGAGCTGTGAGCTCTGAGGGCTAACAGCTAACGGCTGATGTTGGTTTTGTGTTTCTCATTGAAGATGACGTCACGGCTCCGCCTAAACTGCGTTACTATAGATACTACCCCAGTTCCTAAACTGTAATGGAAATGCGCCATTAAGTGAGCCAGTCCTAACAAAGCCATACCGAGCGAGGCAGAGCGAGGCCGTGTAGTGGAAATGCGCCATTAGAGAAGGCCTTTTATGTTTTTTGGGGGGTTTTCCCTTTCCTGTAATGCGTTATATAGGTTTTAGTGCATGTAAATGGTCACAAAGGAGTTTCTCTCCCACACACTCCTCATTGGACTCCTTTGTTTACTTCTGTATCATAGTGACATCACTATCTAACACTCGCACTTCTGTTGGCTAGCGCTCCAACATATTGTAGGCTAAGGGGCGGGACATCTCTAAGCGGTTGACCAATCACAACAGAGCCGGCCAGCTAACCAATCAGAGCAGACTGGGCTCTGGTTTCAGACAGAGGGTGAAAAGAGGTGCTGCAGCACAAAAATAAAGAGCTTTTTGAACATTAAAGCATGGACACATGTCACTCAAAAACAGTTTCACTTGGTGTTTTGAGATTGTACTTTATAAAATATCAAGCTTTATTTCAAGATGTTGAAATGTAAATGTAAGGTTAGACAGTTACCTTCGTTTGTATCCGATGTATTTCTGTTACATGTAATCCATCATCTTCATATTTCTAGAGTTGCTTTAGGTTCAGTAAATTAAATCAAATGAAGTGCTATGAAACTGGTTTGATAAAAAGCGATCAGATGAAGCCGATTATAGGGTTAACAATGGAGGAGGAAAGAGGCTTACTGTGTAGAAAGAATAGCACTAAGGCTGGCTAAAGTGCCGATGTGTTGAGGTGTTGGCTGATATTTATCTTCTGTTGACAGTTTGTCAGGCAGTTTTTATGAAAACCATTTCCCCTCGGTCTCAGCAGGGAAGCTATCTGCTTTTAAAAATGATTTAAGAGGAACGGATTACATGTCACTTGATTACGTAATCAGGATACAAAAAAAGTAACTGTATTCTGCTTTTTTAGACTGTAGTGTGTGCTCATGTGTTTCATTGTTGGTGTATAGGCTACTGCCTGAATATGCTGAATGAAAGGCAGGTTTTTACTATCTATAAAATAATTGTTG